ATGTCTTTACAAACGAACAATACGTATTTAGATTTTTCTCAGTCCATCGAGTGCGTCTATAAATTATATATGCGGACAGGATAGTCCAAGAGATGTTCTCATCGAATTAGCTGGGTTCTACAGTCCTCCTGTGGCTATAAAATGTATGGAAAATACAACTTAGTTTTGTTCTATAATAATATCGGCAATTAAATATTATGGTGGATTATTTACACGAGGTCTAACCTGAACCACGGTTTTACGCAATCATTTTGCCGTAGGCTTTTTCTATAAGAGGGTTGATTTAATTTCATAAATGTCCTTCCACTGTTAGCTTTGGGCCCTCTTAATGCTGTTCACAAGAATAAATGCTCAGATAAAAGGTTCAGCTAAATTGAAGGGTTGTCAGTTGAGGACGCAGTTTTGTTAAACAACGGCTAAGCCTTGTTTGAATAATTAGGGCATTTAGGAAGAGTCGCATCGGTGCCTTCTGAAGCTAAAATGATAATGAGTTGTTCTAAAATTCTAGAACGGCTGATAAAATAATCTTAATCAAACAGTGTTTACTGTTCAGTGCCCGAAGGACTTCAGAACGTTCTAGGTACAACTTCTAACGAGTCAGGAAAGTCCTCTATTAAGGATTTACTTGCTAGTATATGCCTGCGGAATTGGAAGATTTAGTGCAAATTATCTACCTGTAAATTTTAGAAATAATTACTAAAAACAAAACAAATTTTGACAGACAGGTTTTAATTTAGATATTATTGGTGAGTCCCAAGTTGTTTAATTTGTTTTCGTCGCTTTACTTTTCTTACACTTCCTTTGTCAAATACTTGTGTGACTTCTGATGGGCCTACTTCCGCGATCTTTATAAACTGAGAAAACAACTTTCACAGCCAGGAAAAAGGTGAGAGCTAAAAATGTAAATATAACAGATCTACCAGCATTTATACTTAAACTGCTTCAGTATTCGCTGCCACATAAAATGCGATAACAATTAAATATGGAAGGAGAGTCGGGTTGATTGATTATCTCCAGCTTCGTTGTTATCGAAGGAGAACTAGAAAATTTTGGTCGACGTTCAATCCATCCATCCTCTGTGGCGACGTGAACTGAAGCTAAAGAGAGAATAACTGTTATGATACTGAAATAAATTATAATTGTATTTAATACAAGTAGCAGTCTCGTAAGAGATAGTAAGCTTGATTTACGTTCGTAAAAGATTGTTTGTTTTCAGTCTCCTTTGCGAATAACAAAATTGAATGATTGTTTATTTTTGCTTTTGATGAAGATTTCTTCCCAACGAAATACGTTTAATTCTTCCCGTTATTATTAGAAAAACGCGTTGGAAAAGTTTTGTATGGCATCGGCTCCTTTCGAAGCACCGAATATTGTTGGAAAGGGCTTGAAGATAAATACTGACCTTCATTGACACTAACATCAACTCTCGCCATAACTCTGTTCAACTTCGACAGACATCTTTGAAATATGACAACTTTAAACAACATGACAGAAGATTTAGGGAGCCAAGGCACAACTCCAGAGTCTCCATTCTGCATGTCAGATCCAAAGTGGCAAAACCTGAAGATTTTTCTTATAGCACTTAATATCCCTCTCTCCATCACGGCGTTTTTGGGCAATATCCTGGTTATTACTGTTCTTTGGAAAGTCCGCAGTGCGATGTCTATCCATCTCCCCTCAAAGCTTCTGTACGGTTGCCTTGTGTTTACTGATTTGTGCACGGGTCTTATTACACAGCCTCTGTTAGTTTCCTTCGTACTCTCGCCTAAACATTCCAAACGTTGTCTCCACCTACGAATCCCTTATTTTCTCATGAGTTCAACTTTATCAGGAATCTCGGTGCTAACACTGACTGCCATCAGTGTAGACAGATATTTGGCTTTGTTACTTGGGCTGAGATATAGACACATGGTCACCCCAACAAGAATACGGACTGTTCTAACTGTCTTTACGCTCTATAGCGTTAGTGGTTCAATGTCGTGGCTATACAACCCTCGCGTTGCCACAGCCATGATCGCGGTAACATTACTGTTGTGCCTTTTGACAGCAAGTTTCTGTTACTTGAGAATTTATCTAACACTACGCGACCACCAAATTCAACTTCAAAAGCGTGTCTTCCAGCCACGTGTACAAGAATTCCACATGAATATATCTCGGTACAGAAGAACAGTGACTAGCGCGGTATGGGTACAGTTCGCATTACTTTTGTGCTATCTTCCATTTTCTACAGTCATAGCGCTACGTGCTGTCACTGATGGTAGTAACAGCTCTCATACATCGGCGATTAATCTGGCATGGTACACCACAGGAGTTCTGTTTTTGTCCAACTCATCTATAAACCCGCTTCTTTACTGCTGGAGGATTAAAGAAGTGAGACAGGGAGTCAAGAACATAATCAGTCAACTTTGTTGTTTCTGAGATTAAAGGAGATAGTTTCCTCAGTTCTAGGCAACTGCAGAACTACTGACTCTCATTACGAAGTAGTGGTTCAAATCTCAGTGGGCCGAAAGGAAACGAAGCCAAAAAAAGAAAGTATTGGTGTCACATTTTTTAAGATAACTTAATTTTCAGAACCAGTTTTTTTCAATCTTAATCATGCATCGAACTCCTCTCGTATAAAGTCGTTTTCGTAGTCATGAATAATTCTCATTTAGTGAACAAGTGGAACTCCTTTTTCAGCACATAAGGCGCAGTAGCAATAAAATAGGGAAGGATAGCCGAGTATTTAGTCTCCAACTTCGCTGTTATCGAAGGGGAACTGAAAGTGTTGTGTAACTTTCTATCAATCCATCCCTTGTAACGACGTGATCTGAAGCTGAAAAAAGGAAAACTTTTTATCTTAGAATAACCTAATATATTTAATATACGTTGCAGTCCTGTAAGAGTGACCAAGCTTGATTTACGCTCGTAAAAGGTTGTTTGTTTTCACCGGCTTCAGTGCGAAAAAATGTAAACACATCGCCCCATTTTTATGACAACTCATCGTCCAGAACCATTTTTTTCAAAACGTTAACATCACTTCTAAGTATGGCTCAAACTCCTCTGGTATAATGTATCCTTCGTAGTCATGAATGAGGCTCATTTACGTGATGAAAATATATCGACCTTGCTTGTGTCAATGAAGACCAGCTAAGCTTGGTATAGCAATATGGGGAAGTCAACACAGGAAAGCCGCAGAAACATACGATAAGTTGTCTCTGTCAAGCGTTCACTTTATTAAGTCTCTGTAGGACTTTCCTCAAAGCTCCTATCTCTGAATTAATTACAGGTAAAGTTACAGAATCTCACAACACTGAAATTATTAAACTTGTTCTTAAAAAGCATTTTCAGTTGGCCTCAATTTCCTTATTCTTGGTTTCTCTAAGTCTGGTAGCTATAACTGCCACATCGAAATTGATATCACCTTCTAATGTTCTAAGCGGGGTCAGTTTCGTCGAAGCAGATGTGTTATTAACCCCTATTTCAAAGTTTTCAACTTTCACTGTAGCTTACCGCCTTAGAACTGATCGAGCCAAGGCCTGTCGAAACTCTGGTATTCTAAATGCATATACAATTGGATTTACAACTGCATTGGAATCATTGACAAAATTAATAGCCACCAAATATCTCCACGGTATGTTCAGATCAGTGAGAACTACAAAACTGTTTGAAGCTATGTATGGAAGCCAACAAAACAAGGCAAGAAGAGAAACAAACAGCAAAGTCTTTGTCAATCGTTTATTTTGTAAGTCCCTATTTTGATGTTGTGTTCCAGCGACTGTTCCGAGTCGAAAGTTTCTCCATATAGAAGTGTTACAACCACATATGATAGCAGTTGATATCGAACCCAAAGACAACAAATAATAAAAATAATACATATGATGCACGATCCTTGCAGCAGATAGCGCTATTTAAGCAATAGCGAAAATCAGACCTGAAAAAAATGCCTGCTCCCAGTTGGCTTGTTAGCTCAATTGGTAGAGCGCTGCACTAGTATCGCAGAGGTCAGTGGTTCGAATCCCGTACAGGCCTGATTTTTTTCAGGTCTGATTTTCGCTATTGCTTAAATAGCGCTATCTACTGCGACGATCGTGCATCATATGTATCTAATACCGCAGTACAAAATATATGATTTTCATATATTTCATTGTATCTCATTTATCACTTTCACGGGTTTATTACGAATCAACTTAACGGTCTGCTCCCAGTTGGCTTGTTAGCTCAATTGGTAGAGCGCTGCACTAGTATCGCAGAGGTCCGTGGTTCGAATCCCGTACAGGCCTGATTTTTTTCAGGTCTGATTTTTTTCAGGTCTGATTTTCGCTATTGCTTAAATAGCGCTATCTACTGCGACGATCGTGCATCATATGTATCTAATACCGCAGTACAAAATATATGATTTTCATATATTTCATTGTATCTCAATAAAAATAATGTTTAACAAAACGGGGGTTGGCTAAAAGAAGATATAGGGCAGTTTCAAGGGCAGTAATTTCCCACACCATTAGAATTATAATGAGGTATGTACGCTCAGTGAGGGTTCGGTGTTGAAACGGCCGATAGATGGCGTAAAATCTCTCACAGGATATGAAGGTCGCAAACATTAATGAAGCTACTGTAGCAACATTATCAGCAATTGTAGCGGTGTATGCTAGATACACGTCTATTGGTGATGTCCAGAGATAATAATTGATTCCGCCAATTTGGTAAACATAGAAAGGAAGAGACCCAGCTCCTAACATCAGATCGGCAACTGCCATATTGATGACAAGAAACAGACTTTTCTTGCGAACTCTCTTGTTACCAATGAAGAGAACGATGGTGAGTATGTTTCCTATGACAATCCAGGCAGCTTCCAGTACAATAACTCTACACCAAACGATGCCTTCGGCTTTGGAAGGAATATCCACCGATAACCCAGATCTGTTGTCTCTGCTGGAGTTTACTGCTGTTATGTTAAACATCACTGAATTTTTTCATAACTATGTATTAAACGTTTTAGTTTTTAGAAGAGGTTGTAGAATTCAAAGTTCTGCGTTGCCAGTAATGATGGATCGAAGTCGAAGTCAATATAAGGATGCTGCATTTGGTCTTCTTTTCTTAAAGTACAACCAGCCAATCACGATCTTAACCCCTATGCGGGTTAACTAATGGCTAAGCCTCTTCACATCTGTTGTTACGCCACCTTAATATGTACACGCTATTTATCTTCCAAAAACAAGGAAGAGATATTGAATTCTAGACCTGGGTGTACTCAGTTCCTTAGGTGCGTTTATTAATTTTCAATTTGACAATCGACGGGATGTGCTTATCAAAGTCGCTGGGCTCCTCAATCTTACTGACACCATGAAATGTATCGGCAAAGATAACTTACTTTTTTTCCATATAATAGCGAAAATAGAATACTAGGTTTTACAAGCTGGACTGACTTTTTATCCTCCACTTTGATCATTAAAAAATGATCAAAGTTAGAATGAGTCGCATCGGTGTCTACTGAGGTTAAAGTGATAATGGATCGTTTAGAAATGCTAATAGAGATTTCAAACATCTTAATCAAGCAATCTTGAGTTCAGTGCTCGAAGGACTTTAGAATAGTATCTGTGCAGCCTTAGACATTCATAACTTTCAAGATCTCTATGGTACATGTCTTAGTGAGCAAGTGGAATTCATTTAACCTTAAATTTTAGAAACAATTAAATAAACTAAACAACTTTTGATGTATAGGTTCTAACCTGAAAAGTTATTGAACGAGTCCAAAGTCCCTTTCGTGAACTCTAGTGAGTCTACTTCCGCGTTCGCTGTAAACTTAGAAAGCAACTTCACGGTCAAGAAAAAGGTCAGAGCTAAAAATATAGATATAAGAGATATACTACAAATTTCTTTTAAACTGTGTCCACATAAGTCAACAGGTAAAGCGCAGTCACAATTATAAAAAGAAGGATAGCCGAGTAGATAATCTCCAACTTCGCTGTTATCGAAGGGGAACTGACAATTTTGTGAAACTTTCAAACAATCCATCCCCTGTAGCGCCGTGAACTGAAAAAGGGAAAACTGTTTATGCTAGAATAGCCTAGTATATTTGATACAAGTTGCAGTCTCGTAAGAGTTAACAAGGTTAACGCTCATAAAAGGTTGTTTGTTTACACTGTGTTTGACAACTGACAACTCACCATTAGAACCAGTTTTCTCAAAACTTTAAAATCACTTTTAATCATGCTTCGAGCTCCTCTAGTATAATTTATTTTGCGTAGTCATAAATGAGGCTCATTCACATTGTGAAAATAAATCGCATTGTGTCAATAAAGACAAGCTAAGCTTGGTAGAGCAATATAAGAAAGTCAACACAGAAAAGCAGAAACACACAATAAGTTGTCCCTGCCAAGAGTTCACTTTAATAAGTCTCTGTAGGACTTTTTACAAAGCTTCTCTCTCTGAATTAATAACAAGTAATCTTACATAATATTACATCGCTGAAATTATCAAACTTGTTCTTAAAAAGCACTGTCAAGTGGCCCTAATTTTTCTTACTCTTGATTTCTTATAGTTGGCTGGTATCCATAACTTCCTCATCGAACTTTAAATCACCTTCTAATGTTCTAAGCGAGGTAAATTTCGTTAACTGAGTAGCTGTGTTAGTAACCCCTATTTCAAAGTTTTCAACTTTTATAGCAGCTCGCCGCCTTACTGAATGCCCCAAAGCCTGCCGAAACTCTGGTATTCTAAATGCATATACAATTGGATTTACAAATGCATTGGAATAATTAACAAAGGTAATAGCCACGTAATATCTCCACGGTATGTTGAGATCAGTTAGAAATCCTAGACTGATTGAAGTAATAAATAGAAGCCAACAAAACAAAGCAAGGACAGAAACAAACAGCAGAGTCTTTGTCAAACGTTTATTTTGTAAGTCCCTGTTTTGATGTTGTGTTCCAGCGACACTTCCGTGTTGAAATTTTCTCCATATGGCAATGTTACAACCACACATGGCAGCGGTTGATGTTAAATCAAAAGACAACCAATAATAAAAATAATAATGTTTAAAAAAACGAAAAGTGATCTCAAGAAGAACTAGGGCGGTATCAAGGGCAGCAATTGTCCACGCCACTAGAATTATAATGAGGTATGTACGCTCAGTGAGGGTTCGGTGTTTAAACGGCCGATAGATGGCGTAAAACCTCTCACAGGAAATAAAGGTCGCGGATATTAGGGATGCTACTGTAGGGACGTTATCAGCAATTGCATATAAATAATCAAAATTCACGTTCACTGATCTTGTCCAAAGTTCGTAATCATCACTACCAATAACGTAGATATATAAAGGAAGAGACGCAGCCCCTAACATCAGATCAGCAACCGCCATATTGATGACAAGAAACAGACTTTTCTTACGAAGACTCCTTGTACCAACAAAGAGAACGATGGTGAGTATGTTTCCTGTGACAATCCAGGCAGCTGCTAGCACAAAAACACTGCAACAAACGATGCCTTCAGCTTTTGAAGGAATATTCACTGGTAAACCAGATCTGTTGAGTCTACTGAAGTATGCTGCTGTTGTGTTATTCATCGCTGACTTTTGTCAGAATTAATGCTGTAAGTATTTCAGTTTTGAGGAGAGGCTGAGGATAGCACTGCGTTGATAAGACTGGATCAAAGTTGTTGTCAAATCATGGATATTTCGGTTGGCCCTTTATTTTTTCATAGTACTACCACTGACAAGCCAATTACAATCTTTTAACACCCTAATGCGGGTTAAGTAATTAATAGATAAGACTCTTCAAATCTAAGATACACACTCAGTTACCCACCAAAAGTGCATCGAAATAGATATTTACTCAACCCATTCACCAGGTTATTAAAGGAGCGGGAAAATTCTGTCTTACCCTAGATAGCTTGGGGCAAGGCGCGGGCTGTACGTCGAACAGCTTGTCCACCTCAGACCGCCCTAGGATGTACCTACTCGCTAGGAATATTTTAATGTTTTTTTCTCTTTCCTTTTGCCTTTTTTACACAAATAGAAGCCGAGATGTCATTTTATTTCCGTTCTTCTAATGGACCTTTTTGGCTTCATTCGTCATAGATTGGTCATGTGGTCTGAAATGGGTAAACAACAGTCAAGGCTGTAGCAAATTAACTGGGAACTGTAGAGAATACTGAGTTCACTTTTGTCGCGTCTGAAACTGCCACGATGTTTCTACAAATTCGGATTTGTCTTTTCATAGATACCCTGAAGATTCTTAGCTTCAGAAGTCAGGTATCCATGCAACATTTTCTCAACTACTAGTCGCACAAATTTGTGTTTTACATCCATGAGTAAATGGTCAGAAACCTGAAAAAATAATTTTGTCTCGTCTCTGTTTCTTAATGTCATGGTTGTTATCAGTTCTTTTAAAACAGATATGGGCTTTAATAATGGAATAAGATCAAAATAGAGACTTAAAGAGTGACAACTGGCACCAAATTGTGCTCTGAACATGTCCGGCGACTGAAGAAGAGGATTTTTATGACTTCGTTGTTATGTTTGCAGACAGCGGAAGTAGGAGAATGAAAGCGGATGGCGCCTGTCCTTAATAACAATACTTTATTTCAGAACAACATGCAAATACATAATTATTAAGAAAAAGGAAACCCAGAGGTTGGCCCTATATCAAGGGTCTCCTATTTATGTAAAAAATCTTACAGAACTAGTTAATAAAAATATAAAAAAGTCAAATAAGAAACAGCTAAATATCAATTATAAAATGACGATTCAATAAATATTCATATGTTTCTTCAATTTTGATTTAAACTCACGAACGTTAGGGCTGTCACAAAAATTAAATAAATTAATAGGAAGATTATTCCAGGGTTTGATAATTCTGACAAAGAAAGAATTTTTGTAACAGTTCAGTTTTGCGAGTTTGAGTTGTAGTTTATATGGGTGGTTAGATCTCGATTTAGTGTTTTTACAAAGTTCAAAATAGTCGCTGAAATTCAATCCATTTAGATTGAATACAGTTTTATAACATTCCACTAAGGAAAGGAAATCTCTCCTTTGTACTAAAGAGTTCCATTTAAGAATTTTACACCTCTCCGTATACGCCATCTCTTGTCTTCTTTGGCCTAAGGCAATTCGCGAGGCTCTTCTTTGTATCTTCTCAATTTCATCGATGTNTAAAGGTGTTTCTTTTTCCTGCACAATTTAATTAAATCCTTCGTAATCCATGGAGCGATGTTTTTTCTTCTATGCCGGTACTTGGGAATACTTTCGTTTACCGCTGCAAAATAAAGATCTTTCCATGCTTCCCAGTTAGCATTTATGTCCTGTTGTTCTATTGTAAAGTACCAGGGTGAATAACTGAACAAAGATCTTAGATGATTCCAGTCTGCCTTGTTGAATGCATAATTTTCTTTAGTTGAGATCCGTTGTTGGTAGGGGCGAGTGTTTACGATGAATGTTATTGAATTATGATCGGAGAATGGTTCACCGACTTCCAAGTTATTTATCAGGTCGATGTTAGTCGTTAGTACTAGGTCTAATATGTTGTTCCCACGAGTAGGCTCGTCAACCATTTGATACAAGAAATGGTCTTGAACTATTTCAGACAGGAGGTAGTGATGCTCAGATGATTTAGTAGGATGGTTCGTAGACCAATCAAACTCGCTTAGGTTAAAATCTCCAGTAATGAGAAGATCTGTGGTTGTAATCGAAGAAAGGTATGACCGAAGGTCTTCCAGAGGCTTCAAGTCACTATTTGGCGGCCTGTAAAATGTTCCAATCGTTAATTTCTTCCCTCCGTCTGTGATTATATCAACAAATAGTAACTCAGAAGGTAGATCTTGGTGTTCTCGTATTGAGGTGATTATGTCTTTCTTCGTCGCGATCAAAACACCACCGCCATGTCTAGCTCGATTGCCGGCGCGGTCTTTCCGGTAGACAGTATAATCGCTACCAATATCTTCCTCACTTGAAATCGAACAGTCTAAATGCGTCTCAGTTAGAACAACGATATCCGCTTGACTATTAGCCAGTTGCAATTGTAATTTGGTAACTTTGTTGACAATGCTCCTGGCGTTTGTGTAGAATACCTTCAACTTCGAATTGTGATTCTGTCTTCGAGGTCGTGTCGTGCCTTTAGGTGCGTAACCGGGATTTATTTCAACATCACCGCTGTGTAGGATCTTGAAAACAGCTGGGTTAAAAGCACAGGAGGCATTTGAATAGTATTTAAAACGCCTCGAGAGGAACTTTGAACGCTGGAGGCTCCTAAATTTTCGAAAGTTACCATGTGTAACGACAGCGGTAGCACCAAAGTCTACATTTGTACTGAAAAATACTCGTGGCCAAGAAACGATCTTTCCTGATTGTGCACGATGGTAATAATGGTCGAAGAGGCCATTGTGCGGAGGCAAATTGCCCAAAGAGGCCAAGAATATCGCCAAGAAAGCTGTAGTCACGAGAGCACAACCTTCCGCCATAATGTATTCACATCACTCCTTCATTGTTTTTATGGTCAACAAGTAGCTATTTCTGAAAAGAAGGAGTGTTTCGTCTGCAGTATGATGGTCGAAGGTCGAGAAAATTCAGGCCTAAATGAATTACTTCAAGGAATGGGATTGTCTCGATTTCTTTTAAGAAAAAGACTCAAAAGTCTCTCGAAACATTTCCGACTGCTGGTAGTTTAGTTATTTGAGTCAACCTCACGCAATTTCCTGAAGTGATGTGTCTACATCTGCAACACTCTGAGCCCTGCGATTTATATCTCTTAGACTTATGCGTCACTTCGGGATCGCTTAGTAGTTCCACGTCGACATAAAATAGTTTTGATCGTATAGGTTCTCTCAACTTGTTAAATTTTCAGAAAAATATCATTCAGTCATTTGAGAACCTCGACCGGCTGCCGACTATATAACCACAGAGCGTACCAATTATTGCAAAACAAAAATAACTTTAAAGTTTTCGAAAAATACAGCTTCATTTTAACCTCAAATCACAAAATCGCCAAAACGGTTTATTTGTAATGAATTTGCTTCCCTTTTGTGCTTGTTTCATGTAGTTTTTGCGGTCTTGTAAGATCGTGTGCTTACAAATTTGTTTTCCGACTTGATGTTGCTTTTAATCTCAGCTAAAGACTCCATATTGATCGAGTATCACCGATTTCTATATTACTTCAGTCATTTCAGCGCTGATTTATCTATATATTATATCTATATCGATGACCCAAACTTCTTGATGTTATTTACCAAGCTGACTTTTAACAAAACCCTGAAAACGTCACTTTGTTGTTCGAAGGGAGCTTGTTAGTTTCTGGTTCACTCAGAGTAGAGGGGGCCTGCCCCGTGGAAAATAAAACAAAATCTTCGTTACTGAGGCACATGCTGAGAGTTTTTTCCTCTTTGTTGCAACAAAACCTTCTGGAGACCTTGGTTTATCGAATGGCTGCTACTCCTCACAACGCTCTCACTTTAATGTTTTCCCTGCAAGAGTATTTTATTATGTCCTCTCTTTCTCACTCATTCCCTTTGTTGGATCCTGAAGAGGAGTCGCATAGATTGACGTAATTAAGCTACGTGGTCACACGATGAAATTAATGATAGAATAGAATGAACGTCATGAATAAGTTCCCAAGTTCTCTTTATGCAATCTGATTACAACAATACGTCGACATTTGTCAGAGAATTTTGTGCTGATCAAAAACGGTCATAATTGTCAGAGAACGATATTGAAGTTTTTTTTTTCATCAAGATATAACTTCGCAATCTTGAAGTTACTAGTATACTCAGGTGTTTCTACAGGATCACGCAGAGTCTTCAGCCCCTCAGAAATTATGGATTAATCTGCCCACTCCGCTCGGCGTCTCGGGGCAACAATTAAAACGTGCGTTTCCGGCGGACCCTTAAATTTTTTTACGAAATTCATGTGAAGTCTCATCGATGGGCTTTGTGCAAAGAAGTCCTACAATGATGGACAATTTTTCTCAGTCTCTCGATAAATAAATCAATTACGCATATCTTTGAGCTAGTAACAGGCGTATTCATCAAAACTGAGATATAAATAACGTTTTGATTTAATTTTACTATCAATATTCAGAGTGAGAGAATAAAAACCTGCAACCTTTGTTGATACCAAATAAAATTTTCAAACAGTTCCACTGCAAAATAAATAGAGCAAAGATGGTGAGTTTAATAGATCCATGTGTCTGTACACAATCGCACTACATTCGACTGAGCTGAGGTGTTTGACCTCGAAATTAGTTAGCTATTGATTCACATGGAACTCTAAGAAGCACCACCATTGTTTTGTTTGTTCAAATCTCCATTTCGCCCCATGCCCTTCGATCATGTTAGCAGGCTTCGCCCCATGCCCTTTGATCATGTGTTAGCAGGCTTCACCTGCTAACATGATCAGTCTAGAGGATCCATACATGAAGTAAGTAATTTCTTTGATGTTACTGCTGACTATAAAGAACACCGGGCCTTGGGGACTTTCGGTGAGTCAGTTAGTTCGGGATGAAATCATCCATAAACCTTAGTGACTGGAGTGGCGAAGCTCGATCGTTTATACAACAAGCGAGCTTTCATGAATATGATGCGAGTCAACTATACTAACTTTGGAATAATTTTTTCGTTCGTGGTTGTGCTTTTCATATTTTACAAACTAACGCAGTCCTCGTCGGAAAGTCGTTCTCAAACTGTGCATGTAAGGGTGACTCCACTGACCAGCAACAAGCTTCCTTCAGGTGGGCTATGTCCTTGGCTCAAGATTAACAGATCATGATAACTTTTGTTACGGCCACGCAGCAAATTAACGGGCCAAAAACCGCTTTCGTTTCCCTAGGGTAGTTAGATCGACGTATTTTTCGCCATGATTGAAGCAATCCCACACCTTAAGAGTTCTACTGTCGTGAGCACCCCACCCAATTAGGGGTGAACGTATCACTGTCACAGGTTCTAATAAACTTAGGGATTGCAATTTCAGTAAGAATCTATTTTACCTTCACTGTGCATCACTGGAAGTAAAATCATGTGAAAAACAAATGATATTTGAGCATTTTGTTTTGATTTTGATTCAATTATAAATTTAATTTGAGGTCCAATGATGTAATACATAAGCGTATGGAAGGCAAATGAAATGGTAGACGTTCTTTCAGACTGACTTTTTAATCTCCTCTCAGATTCTTCAATAGCTTTAAAATCATTGATCAGTGGCTCAAAAAGTGGGTTGTTTGATGCAAGTCTAAAGCAAGCTCAAGATACCATAGAGGCTCTCAAAAAGCAGCTTGCTGAAGTATCAAGAAATACAGTCAAACACAAAGACATGGAACCTGTTAAAAGAAAGTTAGTTCTCATCCTTCTCTTCAGAATGTACCAAAATTGTTCAGTGGAAAAAATTTAAACTGATTTGGTCTGCGATTTATATATTTGGAGCAGCCTTTGAAAACAGCATTTGGTCAAGTAATAAGTTTAGACTGGTCATGTGTAGGTGGCATGAAATATTTTTAATTCAATAAGTCCACTTTATTAAATTTTTCACCATGGATATTTAAGTGTATTGCCTTACCCCTTTCATTTCCAAGATCTCATTAGCAATTCTCTTCACTGTCTGCCATATTATTTTTATGTTATTAGTTCTGGAGAATTTGTTATTTGATCAACTGATAATCCCCTAATCCTCTAAATGTTATTTTTATATATTCTCATCACATATTTACTTCATATTGTAAGCAGAAATTCTGTCTTGATCATTCACGAGAGTGATAGGGCTCCTTATAGTTAAAATAATCTGGTGATCATAAAACTGATAATTTTTTGTCAATTTTGAATCTTCAGGTTTAGTGGTCACAAACTTATTCATTTGGATCTGAAAGGTGCACCAATGAAAATGACCTTTCTGATACAGGTATTATATACAAGCAAATTCATGCATCCTGTGTATAATAATCTTTATTAAAAACTGGATCATTGGATAATGCTATTCAAGACCTTTTATTGGCTCAACCATTATGGTATAATATGAGCCAATATACCATAATCTAATATCTGTACATTGTAACATCCGGTTTCTTCTTATAAAATAAAGTCAAGAAAATTTGTCTAATATCTTGGGGGCGTTTATTTTAATAAAACAATTATTCCACTCGTGCTTGTTGGATATGAGATGTTTATAGCCAACTTGGCGCTACGTGTCTCATTGGCTATCTATCATCTCATATCCAACGTGCGCTCATGGAATAAGTGTTAAATATGTAATAATTGTGACGAAGAAAGTTGTGTGATATTATCTGTGATCTGTTCACTTTTATCTATTTCATATTGGTACCTGTCCTTCTCTACCTGCATGGAATGAGAAATACTGTGTGTGCAGAATATAAAGTTACATGCACACATTACCAGGTTTACAAAAAATGTTGTATGAGGGTTATATTAACACTGTTTACCTGTTGAAAACAAAATTAATTGCTTAAATCCAATCAGAAAATATTTCTTACAATATATGATAATTCCAATATATCTTATAACAGGATACAAATGAATAAAGGCTGATAGTTTCGAAAGAAACTGTTTGGGGCTGTTGGGCTGGGAGTAACGAAATAATTTGGATATATCAACAAAGTTGAAATGGTAAATTGGCCACTGTAACAATTACAAAAGCTGACGTTTCGAGCGTTAGCCCTTCGTCAGAGTGAATAGAGGAATTGTGGGTTGTGTGTGCTCTATTCACTCCGACGAAGGGCTAACGCTCGAAACGTCAGCTTTTGTACTTGTTACAGTGGCCAATTTACCATTTCAACTTTGTTGATATATCCAAATTATTTTATAACAGGAAACCTTACAGCTGTATCATTAATTTATTAAATTGTAAATTAAACTATATTATCAACTTGTAAATCTGCTTAGGTGCTACCATATTTTAAGAAGTGGGGAGCAACAGGCTTACTGGTTGAATATGAAGATATGTTTCCCTACAAGGCAAAATATGAAGTCCTACAAGCAAGAAACTCTTACAGGTAAATGCTGTTTATTTCTATACTGGAATTAAAGCATGTGAAGTAAATTTCTATGTAAAATACAATATCCCTCAGACATTTCATTTGAAGATTCCTTGCTGTTGATATCAAACCTAAAGACAGTGTATAGTCTGAGGTACTATGATTTTGCACTGATAAGACGCATGGAATCAATGCTGGTTTAAGTTAACCCTTAAACTTCCCAGATGTGATTGTCAATTCTCTCCTCCTTCTGGTACACATTTCCTTTTAAACTGGTTGAGAGAATTCAGTGTTAGATCAAGATAAATTCTACCTGATAAGTTTGTCAGTTCTCGATCATTACCTGTTTACCAGATAATTAACAACTATTCACCGAAGTGGAGGTGGTTAGACTGGTGGGTATTTACCAAGCCGCAAAGCGGTGAGGTAAATATCCACCACTAACCACCAACACTGAGGTGAATAGTTGTTTTAGTATAATATACTACTAAAACAGTGAGATAATATACACCACCGTCGTTAATTTGAGTGATTTCTTTGCTTGTCACGGATGCAAACCAGAGTGCCATTTTTTCCCAAGTTGCTCGGAGGTAAATAGCAAAGGATATTCAGAGTTTGACTAGCCAATCAGAGTGTGCCTTCAATGCTATCCTCTGTTTTAGTATTATACTATTGAGGGATATTATAGGTAGAAGTTGCATATTGATCTCCTCTGGGAGTTAAAGAGTTAATTAAAGGAAATTTTTATTTGATTTTGTATTTACAGTGAAGCTGAAATAAAACAGTTGCTGGAGAAAGCAGCAGCAAATGATCTTATCATAATTCCACTGGTGCAGACATTTGGTCATCTGGAGGTAAATGAAAATATGAATTTCCAGACACTTTTTTAGCAGCCAGTGAAGCTCTGGTCATTACAATCAGTTTCTTAGTACTTTAATTTTGCCATATTTTCATTCTGGAGGAGTTGCCTCTAGCAACTTTTTAAAAGTCTATAATTATTGTAATTTTGATATAACAGTAGCCTCCACTTGTGTGAAAATTTGTTTGGATAGTTATGTGCAAACATTATCTGTTCCAAAAAGCAAACAGTTTCTAAGAGTAATAAGCAAATAGAAAACTGGAAAATCACATATTAAGATTTTTTGCAATTTCTTTTAGTTCCAAAAATGCTGGCAATAATGCCAGGACTGATTTTTTGATATTTGATACACTGTATTTGCTCTACACACTTTGAAATTAAACAATAGTTTTACACTGTAGTGAATCAGTTAATTTTTTTATTTTAATCATTTCCTATTTACATGTAAGCTACTTCATTTTTAGATTATCAGTTTGTTTGATTTACATTCCTTTCCATTCAGTTTGTCCTAAAGCATAAGGAGTTTGCCCATCTTCGTGAAACAGAACTCTTTACTAATTCATTATGCCCAAATAACAAAGGTAAGTTACACAAATTTAGGAAACCAAACAGATAGTTTCCTTGAGTAAAAAAAAAATAAAAGGGTATCTTGTTATTAGAATTATGCAAATTGCCACCAACTTGAAGTATTAGCTAGTAGGTTTAATTATTGAAGACAATCACAGACAGAATTGTGCACTGAAGATGTTTTTTAATCTGGTATGCGATCTTCTGTTAGTTGGTACAGCTGTAAATTACATAAAGCAGAAAGCTAGAGACTAGAAACCGAAACAAATATTGAATTACAAAAAAATAACAACACAAAAGCGACAACTCGCATATTTTTGGGCATCTCCGGGCTTAAATAAATCATCAACATCAAAGGGTAAAAGATGACCAAAGAATCAAACTTTTGCCTACACACAAACAGTGCACATAAACACCATTTTTCGAGCACATGGTAGCAAAAAATCATGTGATCTGCACAAGGGGGTATCGGAGGGGCAAACTGTCCCCAACAGTAGTTACATAATAGTTGGTAATTTTTTCACAAAATCTGTTCCAGACTCTGTTCCAATGGTGGTAGATATCATTGATCAAGTGCTAGCCCTTCATGCTGGTGTGCAGTGGTTTCATATTGGAGGAGATGAAGTGAGTTGATAGCGGCGGAAGTAGCTCTAAATTGAGTAACTTTTCATTGTACAATCAGTGGTTTCAAAACAAGCCGGTGCCCGCCGGAGTTCTGCCAGCTTCTTGATTGTATGTCACTGGCTACTGTGGTCATAACAGTTTGCTTGTGACAAACAATCTCGGCGTTATCACAGCCACCTACTTTTCCAGAGTCAGCTGCCTACTTCAAAACATTTTGAAACCCCTGACAATACTATTGTGCAAGGCTGTATAGTCATTTTTTTTTTCATTTAGAGTCAGATTTCTGCATGATGTGATGTTTACAACTTCCCTTGAATCAAATACAAATGCATAACAATGAGAACTTTCATTACTCACAAAAAGTGCTTTGGCAGGACAAAATGGCAAACCTAAATTCTAATGCAAGGCTATTCAGCCGTGGAAATAACATGCAGTGCTAGTGATTTCTTGTTTACACATATCTTCAAATTTACTCAGTTCTCAGGGCTCTGTATGGAGACGAGTGAATTACATGTAGCAGGCCAAAGGTGCTAGTGAGGCATAGAATAGCAGTGACACTCCTGCTATTTTTAATGCTTGGTCTCTACTCACTGGAAGAATTTAAAACTGCTGCATTTTTGTATTGGTATATTCATCTTTTTTCTTATTCAGGTGTGGAATCTCAAGACATGTCCGGTCTGTCTTAAAGATGCACGTAATAAATCTGAACTGTTTGTGCATCACATGAAACCCATTCTCAAACACTTGCAAAGCAAGAAGGTAACACCAATTATGTGGGATGATATGATGAGACACTGGCCCGTGGGATACTTGAAAGGTAAAGGACCACTGGATGGATTTGCACTTCTGTGATGTTTTGGACAAGGCCCCTCTGTAAAGAATCGAACCCCTAAAAGAAGCAACAAGATACTTAATATATGGATGTTAGAATAGACCTTTCTGCCCCAAATATTTTGTCCTTTGTTGTCCTTTTTGTTTCCACAATTAAATAATTTTGATGAATGATAAAATTGTATACCACAAAAGTGAATGATGCTTATTTATGTGCAGTGATTGGCTGTGTTGAAGTGATTGGCAAAGATTATTCACCTCCAAGAAGACAAATTAAGAGACAGAATTGCACATTAAAAGTTAAATTTCTAACCATTGTATATTAACAGAAATAGAGGTAAATTAGTTTTTGGTTTCCCTGTGGTATATTCTTAAACAGTTATTCAGCTCAGTGTTGGCAAAAGTGATGGATATTTACCTCCATGTTGGTACACAATGGTTAATTGTTGTCTTTTGAAGTAATGTCTCATCTCGTTTTGTTTGACAGAGCTTGGTCCTCTTGTTGAGCCAATGGTGTGGGCCTACAGATCTGATCTCACTGACTATTTTCCTTCTGGTAAAACTTGTTCTTGTTATTGTTGTATCACAGGTGAACCTGCCATTTCAAAGGCCGTGTCCCTACAACATGCAGCCACCCATTTTGTCCCAGCAGATGGGCCATACATTCACTTTTATTGAAGCTCTACTTAAGGGCCACCAAAGTGCATCCTTAACATCAAAATAACCCCTCCACAATGGCCAAGTTTGGTGGGATCTAAAAGGCTCATTAAAGTTATCAGCCTAATAACATTGAACTTATAGACAACTTGACCCACAGTAATAATTGGCTGAAGAAAATCTGAACATACATACTCTTTTTCTTTGACAATCTATTAATTGTGTCATTCTGTTAAACAATTGCAACCTCGAGATGTTATGACTCAAGACTCTATTTGAGTCATCTCGATCAAGTTTGAAGTGTCTGCTATGTGTAAGTGTAACTTATGTTTTGCTGGTACTGTGAGCATACCAAGTCTTTGCCTTTGATATTTTTAAGGTATGTGGGAGAGATATGGTGAAGCTTTTAAGAAGATTTGGGCTGCTAGTGCCTTCAAAGGTAGCATGAATTTGACTTTTACCTTAACTTGAATTAGATAGCTTTATCTCTAGGGAAAACAATTACTTGATAAATGATTGTCAAATTTTTAAAGGGCCATCAATTTTTTTTCAGGAGTAGTATCTTCCAGAAAACCTTATAATTTTTATTTCTGCCACGTAGAAGTATATATAAAATAACACTTCAAAAATCATCTTCAGATTTACTTAAATGCAACCATTTACTCCACCATTTTGAAAATAGCTCAGTCAGTAACCTAACTGCACACAAATCAGGTTGCACAGTGTTCGGAAGCGAAACGGGAAATCCAAACAAACACTTTAATTCCAACACGGTAAACTGTAGACTCACGGTAAACGACAACGACCATTAAACAAAACTGCTACTCGATAAACTAAAAACTTTTCAACTCTCTCTAAAAATCGCACACGTCAAAATTAAAAGGTCCGCGTGATTTACTTATGATATTATTAGCCTACGTAGTCCCAAAGCACGCGCACAAGTTCATTAACGTCTTCTTAACACACAGTTTAACGCAGACGACAGAAACCACTAGTTCCAGTGTCCTATTCTGTAAGCAACCGAACAAGCATTGAGTCTTAGATGGTGCTTGATTATTGTTTCTGCTGAAAATTTTCTTGTTTAAGGGGCCACTCACCCATGGAGCAACTTTGTCCCAATTGGATTTCATGTGCAAAACAATTTATACTGGTTGGATATCATTTCCAAGTTACCATCCACACTGGAAGTTAATGGTGTAGCCCTGACGGGCTGGAGCAGGTATGTATGCAACATGGTTGTGCAATGTCATTATTCAATTATGGTTTTGCATTTGTCAAGGGGTAGTGAGTGCTATATCCTTTCTGTCAAGCCTGTGCAGATAACGTCAGTATGCATATTCTCTATACTGTTCTCTATACATTTCCTAAGGTGCTGACAAGGAGAATTTGTTTAAAAATCAAGAGCTTCTTTTGTTGTTGACATTTAATTTCCTTTGTTCTTGAGAGCATAATGTGTGATTAAAGGGTAACTTTCTGAAAAGAAATTAGATGTTTGTCATTCTTAGGACTTAAAAGGTTGGCAACATTGCATCAGTGCGAGTTTGTATAGGTGACTTTTAAATGTTATTGCATAATCATCCCATTTTGGGGCCATCATAATGACATAGTTCTATTCCTCTGCTATGAAATTAGCAATTCTGGCAGTCAGTTATACCCACAAACTGTAGACTCACGGTAAACGACAACGACCATTAAACAAAACTGCTACTCGATAAACTAAAAACTTTTCAACTCTCTCTAAAAATCGCACACGTCAAAATTAAAAGGTCCGCGTGATTTACTTATGATATTATTAGCCTACGTAGTCCCAAAGCACGCGCACAAGTTCATTAACGTCTTCTTAACACACAGTTTAACGCAGACGACAGAAACCACTAGTTCCAGTGTCCTATTCTGTAAGCAACCGAACAAGCATTGAGTCTTAGATGGTGCTTGATTATTGTTTCTGCTGAAAATTTTCTTGTTTAAGGGGCCACTCACCCATGGAGCAACTTTGTCCCAATTGGATTTCATGTGCAAAACAATTTATACTGGTTGGATATCATTTCCAAGTTACCATCCACACTGGAAGTTAATGGTGTAGCCCTGACGGGCTGGAGCAGGTATGTATGCAACATGGTTGTGCAATGTCATTATTCAATTATGGTTTTGCATTTGTCAAGGGGTAGTGAGTGCTATATCCTTTCTGTCAAGCCTGTGCAGATAACGTCAGTATGCATATTCTCTATACTGTTCTCTATACATTTCCTAAGGTGCTGACAAGGAGAATTTGTTTAAAAATCAAGAGCTTCTTTTGTTGTTGACATTTAATTTCCTTTGTTCTTGAGAGCATAATGTGTGATTAAAGGGTAACTTTCTGAAAAGAAATTAGATGTTTGTCATTCTTAGGACTTAAAAGGTTGGCAACATTGCATCAGTGCGAGTTTGTATAGGTGACTTTTAAATGTTATTGCATAATCATCCCATTTTGGGGCCATCATAATGACATAGTTCTATTCCTCTGCTATGAAATTAGCAATTCTGGCAGTCAGTTATACCCACAATCTTGTCAGCAGGTTAAAAAATGCCAGCCTAGAGACCAATTCTTGGTTAAGAAAATCTTACTTTTCTTAAATCTAAGTCCTAAAGAAATAATAGTCAGTTAAGAACAGCTGTAAGAACAGCTGAATTGGTATGTTACTTGTAATGTGGATGATTTTCTTTCAAATGTTTTTTTTTTTTGTAGATATGATCACTATGCCACTTTATGTGAGCTTCTTCCAGCAGCTCTTCCTTCATTAGCGTTCTGCCTTAAAGCATTGAATGAAGGTAATCTCTCCCTAGATTTCCACATCTTAAGAGCACTGGTATGTCAAAAGCAATCTTGGATTGGATTAGTTCTGATAAATTTCGCTCTGAAATTGGACAAGCAAATGGCGCCACCTTATCTGATCAACCAATCAGATTCAAAGTGAAAAAAGGATCACTACTCGGTCAATCGCGTTTTCCCGCTTGCTTGTTTTTAACTCGTGTTCTCATTGGCTCCTTGTGATCTGTACCTTTCTTCTGATCGGTCGTCGGTAGTGCTTTGGTTTTGAGGTTATGACGCTTAATCGAAAAACGCTCTAAGAACCGTAGATTATACATCACTGTGAATTTTGCCTCTCGTGTTTTCCTCCGCAGGGAATAGTCTTTTTTTTTTTTATGAATGAATGAATTCCTTATTTATATTGCGCCCTTCCTATACAATATTCAAAGGCGCAGTACCCCTCATCAATTTGATAGACACTACACAAAGATAGACCACAACATCGGGCACTACGTGCCCTACTCTTTTCGAACAGTGTGTGGGTTCTTTAACGTCTCACATACAAGGGCTTGTGAGACGGGACCTCCATTTATCGTCCCTATCCGAGAAGACTTGAAAGTCTAACCATTTGCAGATATTATTACAAGGGCAGCACTTTCTTCTCAGATATTTAAAGACCCTGAGTGTTGGTCCGGCCGGATTTGAACTCACGACCTCCCGCACAACAGTCCGGCTCTCTACCAATTGAGCTAACCGGGAAGCGGTTTTTCAATTCCTTCCTGGGAAATTTATTCTTTCGTTCTTATCAGCTTCAATGATTGCTTTGGCTTTGGTTTTACAACAGTCAATGATCGCTCCAAATCTCTCTTCAGCGGATAGCTCAGGATCTTGTTTTAGGATAAATGATTGAAATCCTTCAAACTAGTAGAGCGTGAAATATATCGCCTTCTAGTGTATTGATTTGTGTCTTTCCGTATTTTACCCATTCAGGTTATATGGACGAGGAACTTAAAAAAGTGACAGCAAAAAAACTGGGGCTTCCTGAAACATTTGCTCTCAATGTGGAGAGATTTAATAACAAGTAGGTTGTTGAATTTTCTAGTACAAAGGAGATAGTCAGAATATCTTACGTGATAAGCTGAATAATATGTGCACCCAAATTGATTGGTTCTTGTTTATGATCAGTTGGAGAACGGACGCATAGGTGATCTCACCACTAAAACCGTCTTGCTTTTACATCGTATGAAACAAATAGATTCTTTTTCTTAGATCACAGATGACGTCAAAAATGTAGCAGGAACGTCAATGTCACTTTGTTGTTCTTCCATCTCTGATCTGTTACTGAACAGATAACACGGCAACATGGAACCTATCTTTTAAATAGTTGGCGTCGTACGATGGCGCGTGGTGTTTTTTATTTCTGTAAGTGTCAGCCGTCGTTCTCACCTGGGTGCCTTGCAGAGGACTGGGGCGAGGATACGGCTGACACTTTGAGAGCTAAGTAGAAGACCACCTAGATGAAGATGAAGACCACCTTAACTTCCGGTTCTGTCTACAGGTTCTATCCGCCGGAAGGAACTTTTCCAGGTCATGAAATATACACACTTGTTGCCCACCTGGAGAAGGCAGTGTACTTAACGAGAGGTTTTGCAAACATGTAAGTTTAAAACTATTGAGGTGTACGCTTGTGTTGGAGTGGGTCTTACCCAGTCGGTTTCCAGGGCTCACAAAAATAACTGTTATCAATCGATTGATGTTAGGTTATGGGAGGGGTAGGTGCGCAGTTGCTTAGACACTGACATTGATCTGATCATTCTAGCAGTGATAGGGCCAAAACGTATGAAAATCATTGCCCCTCTCAAGAAAAATGATAGCTCAGGAATAAAAGTTCAATTAGGTTGTAGTATCGGAAACAAGATAATTAGTATTGTAACGATTCAAAATTATCTGCCGGAAATCGAGTGTCACGATCTGTCCGCTCCGATAAATCAGTTTGTTTATCTTTGTTGAGAAGAACTTTATAGCCAATCAACTTACGTTTTGATCAAGGTGTGTTCATGAGATAAGAAAATCATTGTGAGTAGTTTTTATTCGGTCAGAGACTTCGCGTAACGTAGTTCTGCCTTCTTTTTGAGCAATTAATTCTGGAAGAAAACAGTGACAGTGTGGGCTCCTCACTAATTCCCCACAGTAGGACTAACGTGGTTTTGAAAGAGCTTGACGGCGTCACTTCGTTAAGTATTTTAATTTAAGGGCCGGAAACTGAGATCCCCAGAAAACTTACTCAGCGTTCTAACGTCTCAGTCACGCTGCATCTAGGTCTTTAAAGAAATGGCAGTTCCGTCTGTCGAGTGAGCCAACAGCAAACGAAAAACACAGTCATTGATACTTTGATCTACTATTTTCTCCCTATCTTGCAGAGAGCAAGGCTGGTTACTAGATCGTGAAGTACAAAACAAGTTTCTAAGTTATTTTCAAGTGGAGATGGCATATAACAGGACTATGAAGTAAGAAGAGTTTTATATTGCCAAATTTTAGAATGGTATCGTCAGTCTTCAATTAATATGATCATTCATTAAGTTATTGTTTGATTTCATCAAGTTTTTTAATTAGCTGTTGGCTGGCTTTACAATGGGGAGCGCCAGGTGTATTGAAACATTAGCTTACTGGTCAGCGCGCCGGACACGCTTTAGAGAAGTCTGAGTTCGGGCTTCGAAGAGCCTCATGCTTTGTTCTTGAGCCCGATACTTTTTTTATCTCCCTACCCCTTCTCCCTACGGGCCACTATGCCATCCAAAACTGATATTAGATTACCTGGCTTTAAACTTCCTTTCTGTATTTTCAGAGCGTTACAGATTCTAACATCGTTGAAATCTGAGGTACGAAAAGTTTTGAATCCAGTGTACGACGACAGTGTGGTAAAAGAATGGACTAAAGACAAAATCGATGATGGTCTCAATCATTTGAACGGCGTTAAACCCAGATTAGAAGAGTTGAAAAAAATAGCTGCTGGAGAAGAAGAAAAACAAGAAGAACCCGTGAAGAAAGGGAAAAGCTAAAAAGCAGCACTGCATTGTACGAGAGTTACAAAAAATAATTGGAGTTAAGTCAGTGTGTAGCATGCAGGAAAAGGAAAAAAGGGCTTCTTGAAAGTGTCCAGTCCCTTTCTTTATTACCTATAGAGTGATAAGTTAATAAACAACCCACAACGGATAAGGAGGGTAAGTTTCTAAAGTTGGTGAGGGGGGGAGGGGTGTAACAAAGATGATATATATTAGTATATAATAAAACCGTGGATAGCGTTGAAGGCGCGCTCTGATTGGCTAGTTAAACTCCGAATATCCTTTGCTATTTACCTCCGAGCAACTCGGGAAAAAATGGCGTCCCTGTTTGCATCCGTGACAAGCGAGGAAATCACTCAAATTAATTTTTGGTGGTGTATAGACCACTTTCATAAATGGCTGCCGAATTAAAATTCTTTTGTTTACATATAAATTTGCCTGGGTGGCCTCGTTCTCCAGTACAAAAGTCAAAAGAATACATTATCTCAAACGAGGTCACTCGGGCAAATTTAAATTTAAACAAACGAATATTAATCCGGCAGCCATTTATGAAAGTGGTCTATTATCAACTATAATACATCTATGCCTTTAGGTTGACCTGCATCTGCATGCCCTCACCAAATCTACATATATGTGACATACATGTTACACATGTTTGCCACATATATGTGGCATATATGTGCAGCGATTGAACTTATGTAACATATATGTCACATATATGTAGATTTGGTAAGGGTGCATTTGTGGTTCCCAGGTTCCACATATATGTTACATATATGTTACATATATATGTCACATATATGTGATATATATGCAACATGAGTGCCAAATTCCTACATATGCCACATTTATGTTACACATATGTGGCATATATTTGACATATATGCCACATATATGTGGCATATATGGCACATATATGTGGCATACATATGTAACATATATATGTCACATATATGTAGATTTGGTAAGGGNTGGTGGTGTATAGACCACTTTCATAAATGGCTGCCGAATTAAAATTCTTTTGTTTACATATAAATTTGCCTGGGTGGCCTCGTTCTCCAGTACAAAAGTCAAAAGAATACATTATCTCAAGCGAGGTCACTCGGGCAAATTTAAATTTAAACAAAAGAATATTAATCCGGCAGCCATTTATGAAAGTGGTCTATATTATCTCACTGTTTTAGTATATACTAAAACAACTATTCACCTCGGTGTCGGTGGTTAGCGGTTGATATTTACCTCACCGCTTCGCGGCTCGGTAAATATCCATCACTAACCACTTCCACTTCGGTGAATAGTTGTTAATTGTCAACTGAGTTGATGATATAAATTGGCTACCTTAAAGTGTTTCCCCAAAGCTGACGTTTCGACCGTTAGCCATTCGTCAGAGCGAATTGAGGAATTGTGGGTTGTGTCTTACACATGCAGAAAATGAGCTACGCTATTGATGTTCTGAAGTTCGCCCAATGCGATGTCACTAAAACCGAATCCTATTCCCCCTTTCCCCTGGACAATATTGAATTTTGTTCGCTTGTACACTTTACTAAGACTTGGTGACTGTTAGGTTTTACCAACATTGTTAGGGGGGTGGGGAGGAAGGCTCTGTGTGCACGCTTGAATGGGCAAAATATGGTCTCTTATAATATATTTAGATTAAGGATGTGTTTCAATAACTGATATGTTTTCATTAACTGTGCCACGGAGTTTTGCCAGAACCCAAGCTGTATGTTTGTGACCATTCAAGTAATAGGTTTTTTTGGGGCTGCTTATGGTAGTCTGCTGTTTAGGGGGGGGTGGGGGGGTGGGGCTTTTCCCTTACTTCGTATGATAAAAAACTCAATGGTTGACCACCAAAAGAATAGATGGTCTTTATTATGATGAAGTTTTGCTTTTTATTTCCGCAACAGAGTGAATATTTTTACTAGGAGAAAGGTAACAGATTTACTGGGTACCTCGAATCTGGCCTTAAAGTGTAATCAAGACTGTTGGTTTGCTATTATTTAATGAAATCGGTAGTTTTGCAGTCATATAATTAGATTTACCAGTCTGATATTCCACCCGGTTTATTTTATTCAATCCGTGGAAAGTGATTGTTACGTACTTATTTTAAGATTTGAGAAAAGCTTTCAGTCACAGATTTAGTCTTGAAAGGTTCATTTTGTAATTTTATTTAAAAGTAGTGTAAATTATTTCATTAAAGGAGGTGGAACCTTTGATTTTGATCGTTATTGTTGTTGTTGTCGCGCAACGCCCTCTAAAGAGAATGTTACGGACATAACTTAAAACGGCTTCAAACGGATCCAACCTGTGAATAGATTTCTGCACTATTAATCAAAACACAGCAGAAGGACCCCAGCTCTGATTGGAGCTTGAACTGATCGCCGTAAGGCCACGTGACCTATAACGTAGCATTCGAACAACTCAACAAGAGGCGTTTTTACAAGGGGGGGGGGTGGGGGGAGAGAAGTTGAAATATGGAAACTGAATATTTCGATGGGTAAAAAAGCTATTTTAATGAGATGATCTTTGCAGATTATCACCCAAATGTGAACTGCGTTAGAGTGCTCAAAAATCTAGGGTCACTGATTAAGCTCTGTTGCATCGCCAGTCACGTCTAGTTTCCCGACTCGTAATTACGCTTAGCAGTCTGGACCCTTCTACTCCAAGTGATGATGAACATGTCTCTTCTCCTTTACAATATCGAATCACTTCACATGAAACAGGTGACGAGAATAGAAAAAATGATCAGTCAGTGGGTGTAACCTTGTACTGATATCGCATCAAACTCTCTCAACACATTCGCAACAAAATGAACGGCAGTAAGATGAGAAAATTATGAAACAAAAATTAGGATTGTAAATCAAAGCTCGATCAATTTACTAAGCATCGTCTTCCCATTGAAGAATCCGCCCGTCAGAGGGCGCTCGCATTACATCAGACAATATCTTCCTCTCCATCTCCACACTTCCTTTTTCGTCATCTGACTCCGATTCACAAGATTCTTCTGGTCGCCGTCTATTGGGCCTTTTCTTCTTGTACTTGTATTTGTACTTTCCATTCTTGGGTCCCACGTATGGGCGTGGCGGGGGAGGCGTGGCTTGTGGACTCTCCAGCGCATTGTAATTTAATATCCTACGAGTATGACAAAGATGTAATCTTACGTTATATATTTTGAGTCATTTCTTTTTCACTCTGGAATACACACAACTTTAATATTTTTGTAAAGATACAACGCAGTACCTTTCCAGGTTTCTGACCCGCGGGAGTTAGGAAAAGAAGACTAATCCTACGGTACGTAGGGTACGGTAAGGTACAGAAATATTAGCTCCTTGGTAATTCAACCTGCAGTACTCGAATTTTTTGAGAATTGCTGAAATTTTCATTCAAAGTGGTAGGATGATGTTATGTTCCTATATGGAATTAACAGAAACTTCGCAATTCTACAATTACCAGTTTTGTTTTTTAAAACTCTTCCATTTTTTTTTCTTTTTTGCTTTTTAAACATCCTCGTACTTGAATGATACTTCCTCACCTACCATGCAAGTTCGCTACAGACTCTAATCTCTCTCGGTTTGGAAATAAGAATATTTTCGTATCACTGGACACTCCTTGTTACTGATTGTCTTAATTTATATCAAAATGAAATCGTAGCGTCACAATCATCTTGGTTTAAAAGCTATTCAGCAGGATTCTACGAAGAGAGAAACTATGGGAAAATATTTTCCCAAGAAAATTTGAAATTGTCTCAGTCTACATGTAAAGAAACTACAAAAAGGAAAATATTTTATTTAATTTATTCACGACGTGCTACAATGAGAAGAGAAAGCCGAAAGTAGAGGGCAAACAGAATGTAGCAAAACAACCTGTTATCTGAATTTTCGAATCAAGTAGTCAACACAACGAATCTTGGAGGAGAGAGCTAAATGTCGATGGGATTCCGACAAACACGTACGATAAATGTTTAGTCGAAAATGTCTTACCCGAGTTTTTGATATAGAAATTCGCGTTCAGGATTTTCTTCACTCTCCCAATGATCTCGTTCGTATTTGTGACTCTGGAAGCGGCTCAGACGATATGCCGAACTCACCACCATAAACACTGACATATACAGAAATGTGGTGTGAAGATCCATGTCGACGTAGTTACAAGGCTCGAGACAACTCTCACTTAGAACTGATTGACATAACAGAACTAAAAGATTCCATATAAATAGTTTTTAAGACAGCTCTGAAGATGGGTATTTCTTTGAAATCTCAAGTGGGCTCTTAAGAAACAGCGCTAAGTGATATTCCGTGGTCGTATTGATGTCTGAGCACCTCTTAATTACTACATAGTTGGCGTACTTGTAAAGATCAGATTTTATGCAACACAAAGTGCAACGTATACTTAACAGAGCGGAAGGATTGACTAGAATATTGGGCTCGGTTTGCTGACTCAGCGCTAACTCTTTCATATTTAACGTGTGTATAAAGGATTATATGTTTTTCGCATAACACCCCAAGGCGGAGACTAATCAGTAACACTCATCTCAGATATTCGCCCTTTTTCGCGCTTAGAAGATAAAACGTCATTCTCGAAAACGGAAACCGTTTGAAAGCCCAAATACTTTTCTATATCTCAAGGGAATCGGGAATATCACATCACTCGGTTGCTAGGGACAAAAGCTGAGTTACTCTACATAAACATAGATCATAAAATAATGTGTGAACGTGTGAATTTAAAAGCTTTCTTACTTTTAGAGGCCATGGCTTTAAGGTTATCGGTATTCATTAGAATATTGCTTTCGAAAATGTTGCAAGGTGAGGTCACAGTTGAGAATATTGTGTCTGTGAATCGAAACAGAACCCGCCAAAGAAACCAAGGAGAAAAGCGATAAAATTTAGGTCCGATTCCCCTTGGGAACTCTTTGCATTCTGATGATGCATTTTTGTATCAGACTCAACTTTGTAATACGAAACTGTGCATGTCACTTGTTACAGTCATTATAGTTCTTATCAGAGCAATTTTCAGTGTAGGATTTTTGACATCAAAGTTTTTTGTAACAGAGTCACCAGATTCGTGTATTTTTGTTTATTTTCCAAAGATTTATTTTGTAACCATGGTAATGAATTAACGACCACCAGTGTTTTCTCGAACTGAATTATCCCAGATAACCACGTACACGTTTTTTGAGTTTTAAAAAAATGACATTAAACGCCGGTAGGAAACTGTTTTTCTTGTTTGTAATTTAAAACGCCCATGGTGGAAATACCATGAACGAAATATCTATTTCATAAAAGGTAAATCTACACGTAATTTCATTTCATGAAATGTTAGGTATCCAAAAACTTTCCACCTTAATGGTAATTGTGAGAATTATAGTTTGGAATGAAGATCTTGATTGAGTCTCCGAGCTAAAAAACACACGCAATAAAATATGGGATAGAAAGCAAGGATAGTCCTGAAAGAGGATAAAAAATTCGGCTCTCATTTATTTAACGATCCGGAGGAAACACTTCAAGTCAGACGCGCTAATTAAGGACACTATGCGGAAACCCAGACTGTCGTTCAATGCACAATTGACATATTAACACTCTGACAATTTCGTAATTTTCTTTACCAAAAAGTTTAGGGGTATATTTTGAGTAGCATTCACGCAAAGAGTAGGAAATAACTTATCATCACAGTCAAGTCTTCAGTGTAATTTTCACTAAGCTATTCAAATAAGAATATTTGGAATTCAAAGGCCTTGGCAGTCTTGGCTAGTCGTGTGTTAATTTAGAGGAGTTTTGCGGTTTTTTGCTAGAGGTAAAGCAGAGTGAATCGAAAGACTTATAATAGCCCTAAAAGTCAAATACTTCTTTTTATATTTACATTGCAGCATCCAAACAGCATCGTTGCCAAGCTCCCTAAAATGAACAAACAAAAATACAAGGTTATTAGCTGCTCTCTGAAACATATCTAAAAAAAACACCCTGTCCTTTGATTTGCTATAAACCTCGAGTGACTTTAATAAAACATACTTTTTAAGTACATCCGATATTGGCAGGATATCTATAACGAAGGCAAGTCACTATGATGACGCTATGCTTCGTGAATATTTTTTCCCCTCCAGAAACTGAAACACTCTCTAATTAACTAAGTATTCGTGTAAATCAGAAAAATTTAATCATGTGTCTCGTAACAGGTGATTCCACAAGTGCACCTGGTAAGTGTACATGATTTTTTTAAGAATCTTCAATGGTCGCATCCCCGACCAAATTCATTCTATTGTCCTGAAGCGCAAATTAACAGAGTGCCGAGCCTAGGATCAAAGAGAAGAGCTACTCACAGAATTAGCGCCCCTAACATTTCATCGGCAGTGATGTACAAACCCATCACCCTAAAACAAACGAACCGTCGTTTCCTGTGAAGCAAACACGAAAACTTTCAAGATTCGAGATCAAAGAAACAAAGGCCAAAGGCTTCAAAATCCGGCTGTAATTACCTGAGATGATCAGGAATAAGTTACCGACTTAACCGAATAAATTGTGGCTGCTATATCAAAGTCGTTTTGTAATCATCGCATCATCATGCTTTCTTCCTAGATATAAACATACAAACATTTGCCACACCCTTTTTTTCAACCAAAATTTCAAACTTATTTTCTTGCATGTAATCGACATACGGTGAGGCTCGATATGGCTTCAACTCACTAGTTACACTAAGCCACCATGTTAGAAATGAACGTTATGGCTCAGTTAATATCTGGAATTAATATGTTGCACCATAAACACGTCCTCCAATGATTAGATAAATGTTTACAGGTTACATCTATTTTTACACAGGTAGTATTGAACAGTTCGTTTGTATAGTATTAAATATATTAATCAGTAGTTTCACTAGCAACCTTCGTGGCTTCCCTTGGTGTTGATATATGGGATCCCATGAAAATGGGTTTCCACTCCACCGATAAGCAATCTCGCGATCAGTGGGTAAAAAAGGAACAAAGCGTATCTAAGGGTGGGGATGAGTGGTCATCAGTGGAGTGGAAACCCATTTTCATGGGATCCCATACATCAACACCAAGGGAAGCCACAAAGGTTGCTAGTGAAACTACTGATTAGTATATTTAATACTATTCAAATAAAGATGTTTACAGGTTACATCTATTTTTACGCGGGTAGTATTGAACAGTTCCACACTGGATCTTAATGAGCAGAGGCTTTGATATTCATTCATCTTCAGAAATTAAATATAAATGATTAATTAGAAGTGACTGATATCAATGTCACTACGAAATTCCAAAGTCCTTTCTTTGAGGGACTAAGTTTTTTTTCTAGATGACTCAGCTACGCTGATATTACCACGGAATCGTGCCTCTAAAATTTCAGAAAACAAAAACAAAGTCTGCTCCAAAATGTGCTTTGATAAAAATTTCTCAATTATGCATTCTTTCATTCAACATGCCCTGGTTACGGTCTTACAGTACTTTGCAAAAAATGCAAAGGATAATCTCCAATTGTGTGTGATATGTGATTCAAAGCAGAGGGCTGAGGGAATTGGGGAAGAAAAGTGTCGGAGTTATCAATCTTTGAACAGCTCCCCACTTTGACAAAACTGCCTGACACAAAAATATATAAAGCAAAACAGAAGAACCCCCAAAAAAAGAAACACAAAAACCAACAAAAATCAAAAGCAAACATATACAAACACAAAATGGAAGAGTAGAGTTCCTTCTGTAGGGTCACTTTAATAATACTCGACTGATTTCTATACATGTTGAACCTATTCAAGTAGCACTTCTTAGTTTAAATAAATACTACAATTCTCTTGTTGGAACTTGAACGTTCAGTAGAGGACTAACATTACTCGTTTGGAGTCCCACGACCAGATGAGAATGCTAAATTCGAAACCTTCGTCAAGAAAAGCTCCTCGAGCAGTGCACAGTTGAGTGTCGAAAGAAATCCAAGATTTCTATTTGTTTTGTTTCACTGCGCACTGACATTCCCTCGACCAATCGCGTCTCGGCCATTCGCGATTTCCCGCTTTTCTCTCACTTCTCATTGGCTGCTCAAACACTACACTAGATGAACTTCCTCCTCTTCATCCACCTGTAGATCACATACCCCAGCGAACTTATCAAGTATGTCGGACTGTTTCGCCTTCGGAGAAACGTTGTCCTCGTCGACTTTGACCAAACCCTGACGATCCGCTAGCGCTCGTTCCAGGTTTCTATGCAGTTCACGAGGTCGCTTTTTGGCGAGTTTCTCTGCTTCCCTGAGTACAAACCCTGACTCACTGATAGTCTTGTGTTGATGTTTCCAAACCTGGTAGACATGGATGAAAATGGCAGCGTAGAATTCGACAAAAACGTTCAGAACCTGACGGCGGCGGTTGCATTCCCTGTAAAGAAAAAGGTGGAGTCATTTAAAAGTGGCACAGCAATGGCGCGTGTCTCTTACAGATGATAAAACGTAAAAGGACGCCCCTCTGCTGCCCAGATAAAGATTCAAGATAGAGGCATTTGAGCTTGCTTTGTCGAGCTGACGAACTTAATCGCCTTGATTGTTTGAAAATTACACTTGTCTTCACCGAAACGCAATTTGTCAAACTCGCACAAAACCAAAATCTCCTAGCTCACACGGCTAATAGCAACGTACATTGTTGTCAGTCAAAAGCTAGCAACGTATATAACGCAACGTACGTAACGCAATTTGCAGTATACAAAAACGCAATACTGGAAGCGGGAGGTGCATACTTATTTAACTTCTCCTCTCTTAGAGTTTGAAGAGCAATCCTGGTGATGTTTATGGACATGATGGAAAATGGAAAGTTCTGTGTTTCGTGTTGGGAGAGCTTATAGATATCCAAAGCCAGCGCATGCGTACGCTGCTCAGTCACCAAATACAGCGTTGTCAATAAGCCTAGAAAACCACAACCTCTGAGATCTGTTGCAGGATCAAGACCTATAAAATATGACAGTGAAGTAAAACGTTACTGCAATAATTCAGTGGTCTGCAAAATAGTTCAAAACGCAGCACAACTGCTGTACATAACCCTTTACACCCTAACATCAGTATGCATATTCTCCAAACTGTTCTCTATACAATTTCTAAGATGCTGACAAGGAGAATTTGCTCAACAATCAAGAGATTCTCTAGTTGGTGATCATTTCCTTTATTCTCGAGACCTTAATGTTTGATTCCGGAGTGATATTCAGGGCTCGACACTAACTTTTCAACTTACTAGCCAAGTGGCTAGTGACATCTTAAGATGTTTTTCGATGTTACGACAATTTCAGTCTGTTTACCAGCCAAACTGAATAGTGGAAATTGAAAACCACTAGCCAAGACTGAATTTCTACTAATCTGTGGCTAGTGGGCTACCGTTGGTGTTGAGCCCTGATATTACAAGGAGTAATTAGATGTCAGTCACTTTCAGTATGGAAAACTTGCTAGCTGATGTTAGGGTATAGAGGGTTCATTTATTTGCATGTATCCATAGAATTTCAATCACACCTTGAAAACCAATCAGCTCCCAATGGTTTCCATAGCGAGGACAGTCAAGCTTGGTGCCTGTTAATTTTTTATAGATAGTCTGTAACACTTGAGTATGCATGGTCTCATCATTTTTGAACATACACAAAGCAAGAGCAAAAATGAGATTCCGCTCCGAGTGAAGGCTGTTGTTCATTTTTGGTGGACCAAATAGTCTATGAGTCACAGCTGCCATTCCACGATGTTTGACTGTTGGTTTGATGTGCGACATATGCTGTTCAAGGTAACTAGCTGTTTGAAAGTGATGTATAGCATCCTGGAATGTGACAAGCGGTGAACGGCTACCAGCCTGACCATTTCCTTTTAAAAGATCAATTAAGAGAATTTCATTGGACTAAACCCTGGTGGAAAAAGTGTTCTAAGTGGTAAATCTTCCAGATCTTCTAAAATCAACTAAACAGACTTTGAAGGGGAGACATGTAAAACACATGTAGGTATGTTACACAGTGAGTGATTATGAGAAAAGGTTCCAGAGTTTATTATGAACACTTCATAAATTCAATAATTGTTATCCGTATTTAGCAAACTTTTTCATAATGCTAGTTGGCCTAAATGACCAACAAGTTAACCACAAGGACCCATAAGTGTTTCCTGTCTGAGTTTCAAATCCTTTCATGTCATAAATAAATGTATAAAAAACCCTGTTTTTTTCAGCAAAAACATTAATTTGACAGCAATTCAATGTGGGACTAATGCAAACCAACAGTCAAGGGTGAATATGTAAATTTACAGATGACCTTAAGTGAAACTTCATTATGAACCATATTCAGTTAAACCAAAAATTTGTTTAAAGGGGAACTGAAGTCTAAAATTGGTATATTGTTTGCATTCATTTCTAGTTAGCTTTAGAGGAGTAAGATAAAGTGTCGATATTCATTTCCGTTCACTTCTTGATTTTTACAAGAAAATTCGATTTGAAGTTGCCTTTTTCCCACTTTTAGGGCTGTAAGACCATCGGCTCAAAATAGGTCAGCAGCGGTCCTTTATGACATCAGTGGTGGGGAACCAACTTAAGAAAAACAACTGTTACTATTTCATTTTTGTAGTTAATCCCCATTACAAGTCACAGAACTTCCATAACTCCATAACCAAACCAAAATTTCTGTAGGAAGAGTACGGGTTTATTATCTTTCTTCCCCACCAGTGACGTAAGAGCAAGCTAAAATGACCGCTGACATCGCTTTTCTGAGCCGCCTTACTACGAGGCCAAAATACCACTTTAAACTATTTTTCCGAGGGGAAGTTGGGCCCAAAGACTGAAAAAGACCCTCAAACATTGCTATTTGAACTATAAGCTGCAATTTAAAAATACTTCATTTTTAGGCTTCGGTTCCCTTTTAATGCTCAGTTTTGTGAACAAAAGACTACAAGTGCTAAAACTGAAAAAAGAATTGTTATCAGCTTGAAACTACCCTCTTACAAACCAAGGTTAACAAATTCTTGAGGTCCATACATGCTTATATCACTTCAGCCTACGCTTAACTTTTTCTAAAAATTACTGGCCCATTGCTTTCAATTACATTATACAAACAGAGTACTATACCTGGCTGAACAGTCTCCACTAAGTCCCACTCCATCTGGGCCTGTTCCAGTGTTGTTGGAGGTGAAGGCAGCTTCCGAATTCCTGGCGGAATGTTATCTTTGTCTGATCTCCGTCTTCGTTTACCAGGTCGCATTTGGTCTGAGGTAGGACTGATTGACCCAGATTCCTTTTCAGAATCATTAGTAGTTTCTTTGCGAGGAGAGTACCTGTTCAATTCCGATACACTTGATCTGGAAAAAATAAAAAATGTTAAGTCAGGCTTAACAAAGGGGTAGAAAGGCAAGAGCTCTATCTTGAGGATGGACATTCTATTATTCATATGAATTCCCTCTTGCCAAAGAAAAAGAGATAATTGACAATAAATCATTGGGACATGTCACGTGACCGATCTTGGACTCTGTGATTAGAAAATCCTGCATACACCCGTTATGAATACATAAAAATTTTTTCTTCCACCGAGAAGCTAGTCTCCCTTGCAGCCCTTTCCAGCGTCGTCACGCAAGTGAAAACTCCCCACCAATGGCTGCTCACATTCAAACAACATTCCTTTCCCATTGTAATGTGTTATCCAATCAAAATAAAGTTATTGCCTGACAAACAACCCATGAACACACGATATATTTATTCCCGCAAATTCACAGGAAGTGCGTTAGCGTTAGTTTCTAAAGATGGCATCTGATGTCATCGAAACTCCGAAGAAAATATCAGATAATGATCGCTGTTTTGTTTGCCCAAATCCTGTGGGCAAATTTATAAAAACATCTCTTCTCTCTTCTATAATGACTGTTATGGCTTCTCTCTGATGTGTCAAGCTCTCAATACCAGAAGTATCTCGCACTAAGTCGACAGCATCTTCATTTTGTCAGTTTCAACTCTCGGATAATACGAACTCTGTGATTGGTTTAATTATCGAGGCGCGAACGCTTTCCAGAATATGGTAAGTAAATGCTGATTGGCCAATTTCCGGAAAGGAATGTTGTTCGAATGTGAGCAGCTGTTGGTGGGGGAGTTTTCGCTTGCGTGACGACATCAGAAAGGGCTGCAAGGGAGACTACTGAGAAGAATTCTTTATTATTGCTCATTCAAATACCACTTTCAATGAAGAAGATTAAAATGCAGTGCACGAGACAAACTTGGCTAAATTAATTAAGATGTACACCCTAGGCCACGGATCCTTTGAAATAATATAAGTATATATAAATTAATAGAGGTAAAAAAAAAAAAAAAAAAGCACATTCAAATTCAAGTTGTCAGTGGTTTTGAAGTTTGGTACTTACACTTATACAAACAGAAGTTGAATCATAATGTCCTGTATGCTGTGCAAATAATTATTCATATATGAAATGTTCGATTCGTGACGCAAGATCAACACTAAGACCGATAAAATGTCTCAGAAGACTGGGGCATTTTTTTATTTCACGCTGTTCTGGAGTGAATCTGTACTATCTCCAAAAAAAATTAGATTGTGGGCTCATAGATGACACATGGAGCGATTTCAAACACAACACGATTCATTTAAGACTGGTTTACACCCATCGGTTTACAGACACTTCAACATCGCGAGTAAAATATACATGAACTGACCCTTGACAAAAGTCTTCAAAAAAAACAAACAAACACATATTGGTAACTGTATCTGATCTTGATAAGTTCGCGCTGAATAATATTCCCTCTTACCCTTGACTTGAAGGCAAACTACTAGGCAGACCTTCTGTCTTCACTGGAAGCTGAGAAGGACCGTTAGACACCTCTTGTTTGACGGTCGACTCCTTAATGGCACCGTCTGACTTTGCATCAGCTCTGTTTGGCGGAAAATTTTGGAAAACACTTTCAAATTCTAGGTCGAACTCATCGTCTTCAGTTCGATTTTGCTGAGCAGCGGCTCGCTGAAAAGCCTTTTCTGCTTCTGCTTCAAGATCATCGGGAGTGGCCTTCCGGTTCTTGAGACTTGCCATGGCTAAACGATCGTCAATATCGACAAGGAAGGTACTCAATCTGAGAGCGCCATCTTTGATCGAACACCACTGTTCCGTTCCCAGCCCCTCCCTGATAAATTTTCTTTAATGACATCAGGGGTACTGTTTGGAAATATTTCGTACAGCAGCAGGAAGTAAGAACAGAAAACCGCAAGGAGAGAGAAGAATTAGATTTGAGGGAAGTTCAATAAGTCCAATTTTTTCTTTCGGCTGTTTTCGTCACTTCATTCCAGCATTCCAAAACAAGTTGAATTTAGAATATATCTAAGGGTTCCCCTGGTGGTTCCCTGTTTTGATCCTCTCTTAGCTTCCTCGTTGTCTGGTGGTGGCACGTGACCATCTAAATGCATAATCCATTTCGCCATTTCTCACCCGTTATGTTGCATGAAATGTATCATTTCGATTTCTTAAAGATTTAGAGAATGGAATCTTTTCGAACAAGAACTTTATCATCGGGAGAAGATGTCTCTGAAATCATAAGTAGAACGCCTGAACATGCAAATCGTAACTCTCACAGCAATCATAAAGGTATCGACAATTTTCCCTCGTTGTGGAGTGGTTTCACCGTTCACACAAGAGCTGACGATAGCGACGAACACTCTGTGAAGAAAAAGACTCTAAGAGACCACAGCTATATTTACACGTTTTTATCAACAGTGTTATTTACTGTTACCCTAATCGTGGAGAAGATCTTTCATTTTAAGCTTTTCGAAAGCAGCCATGCGTCAATATTTTTCTTCTGGTTAGAAAGTTGTTCGATTGCTCTATTCTTCAGGTTCTGGGGAAGAAAGCGAATTCGAAGGTAGGTACAGTATTGAGCGAAAGTTAAGGCAGAGAACAGTTGGTTTGGGTAAATATTTACATAGGCGAGGTTTTCATCGAAAGAACGATTGTAGGCAGCGGTTTTTAAATTTTAATTCTCACTTAGCATTTGAAAATCAACTTGGCTGCATAAAGTGCAGAATTGTTTGAAAGAATAATATTGTGTCACGTAAAATTTGTTGGTGATGAAAACAGTGTGCTCAGGGGGAGGGGAAAGACTAATTGAGTGTTGAAAGTAATACAGAATATCTGAGATTACACAGGTCTTTTGCTTCTCTTTGCTTTCTGAATGGTATAAAAATTATTTGCACCTTCACACACAATAATAATAATAATAATAATAATAATAATAATTTATTGATTTATAGTGCACCTTTTAACATACCAGGTGATCAAAAGTGCATTACAGCAATAATTAACCTAAAACTGTACAAGTATTAAAAATCTACAACATAAACATTACATCATTCATTTATATAAATTATACGCATCTAAGAAACAATTATTTCTCTAACTGAACCAGTTGTGACTTGAGTTTGTACATGTTTACCTGTATTTACCATGACTTTTCAGTTCAATATGTATGTTTCATACTGTCTCAAAACTCACAGGTTTTTTGTATGGTGTATTTTCAGTTTCAGGAGCCAGGCAAGACATTTTTTCCCCATGCTCTCTTTACATGTAGTTACCGTGACTGCCTTTTCAGTAGATTTTAATTCATCAAACTTCAAAGTATCTGGAGGTTCTGCAGCATATATGGTATGCACCTGTACCAATTCTTCCAAGATCTGATCATTAATTCTCCCCCTCTAGCTGCTAAGAACAAAACACAATAACTCATCCTGGTCTTGAACTCCGAGCTTTCAACCTGCAGTGAGGTCACGTCATCTCCTACATTTTTAAAATGTCACTAATGACCACAAACACCCCCTATAAAATCGAGGAAAATCGTAATCATACCTCCCAAAGAATATATCAAACTCATTGTTTTCCTTCAGCTTCACTCTTAGAAAATTGTTCTCTTTCCAGAAGAGATGATCTTCATATTGTTTGATTAACTCTAGCTCCTAGAAGTGATTAGCATGTAACTTCTCCCTACAATATCCATACTCTATCCAGCAAACAGGTAATGAGAATACTCAAACTTATCAGGTAGAAGTTACCTTGATTGAACACCAAATTCTCGTAACCAATTAACAAGGAAATCTATAGCAGCTGAGGCTGAACACTTTACTTTCACAGAGCTTCTTTCCACTCTCTCTCCACCCAGAAGTGTATTTGTCCATTTTATTTTTGTGTGCTTGATTGTCAAGCCTTTGAACAGGAGTGAGGCTAAGGGAGACCTTTTATGATACAGTTATGCTGCTTTTCAAATGTAAATTTCTTTGTTATCATGCTGATGAGATACTGGTCTCTGACATGTTAAAGTCATCTTCAGCCTCATTCCAAATCAGAGGCTTGGCAACTAAGTACCTAAGTTGGCCTATTAGATACTGGCAAATTGTTTGGGAAGCCTGATTAAATCCTTGGGGTAACCTTGCAATGAACTGGCATCTCATCCAGGTGGAATTAGCAAAACTCTTAGTTGCTTCACTCCATAGAACCTGGGAGAAGCTGTGGCTGAATGGGTCACTTGAATTGATTACAGACTTAACCTAATGCAGTAAATGGTTTGAACCCGGGGGTAACATGTGAAGGTGTAGTCTGATCGTCCGGGTGAGTGCAGTCCTGAGAAGGACTGTTGTCCTGAGAAGGACTTCTACTGACAACAATCACTCACTTGACTCTGATGATGACTTCCGCACAGGTTGTCGAAACGTCAGTCACTGCCACCGACAACAGTCCTTCTCAGGACTGCACTCACCCGGACGATCAGACTACACCTTCAGACTTAACCTAACCTACCTGCCCATCAGGGCTCAATACTAAAGGTAGCCAACTAGCCACATACTAGTAGAAATTCAGTTTTGGCTGGTGGTTTTCCATTTCCACTGGCGAGTTTGGCTAGTAAACAAACTGAAATTGTCATAACATCTAAGATGTCACTAGCCACTTGGCTAGTAGGTTGAAAAGTTAGTGTCAAGCCCTGCCTATGGAAGTGAAATTGTTTGATTTATTGTGATATGGATTGACATTCAATCAATTGTTGCGTTATAACCAATTTTGTGCATTTATCTGTCTCAGCTATCTCTTGCCCTAACACCAGCAATGGTTCTACTAGCATCATGGCAGACCAGTCGTCAGTGTTATAGTGACAGGATTCTTATATTTGTGGTTATTTTATGTTCTCTTCTCGTGGTTCTCTTCTGCTCACTCGAAGATTCACCAGCTGAATACAAAGTGTCATTTAGGGATGGAGTGTTTGCTTTAATGATGAGTGCTTCCTTGGCATTTTTTACTGTGCATGCAAAACGGTTTCTACCCAAGGTATGTATCTATGTCACTGACAGTAAAAATGCAGGTCTTTGACACTTTTTTTATGGTGCATACAAAAGGGTATTTGCAGTTGAACATGTCTGCAATGTAGTTCATTAGTTCAAGCGTGGTTTGTTGGATCAAAAATAAATTAATAAACTTTGTAAATTTGTGTTTAAAGGATTAGTTATCCAAAAAAAAAAAAATTATGTCTTATGTGTAGATTTTTATAACTATGCAATACGTCTTCCATGGAATCTCGATAGCCTTAATCCTTACACTTTCCCCTGGAATGTGTTCATTGTTTACTTAGTAAATGTGCTTAGTGTTTGTCATTTCTGATCTATTGCAGGCGTCAAGTCCAGAGCTACTTTATTTGTTAAATTTCAGTTGCGTTGTATGTCTGCCATTTATTGCCTTGTTGTTTGGTGAGTTTCCTGCTCTGGAACAGGAGGTGTTACAGAGAGGAATGGTGAATGTGATCTTCTGTGTGTTCATTGTGGTGAGTCTTCTTAACTTGATAGCATTTTGGCATTCTCAGTTTTCTACAGCACTTGTTGGGTGATCAAATGATTTCAAGTACAATTTGGAATAGATAAGCACACATATTCTTTTAAAGACCAGTGAACTTGTGCAAAAAATTTATAAGTGTTGGTTTATTCCAAATTGCATGAGGAGAATTGCGTGTTAATGATATGTGCTTTTGTCTGGAAATCTATTCTACTACGCAAGTGTAGTGCCAGTCTGATGAACTTTGTTACCGTCTCTTTTTTTGTTTAAAAGTTAGTTTGTTTTTTCCATTTCAGGCTGTTCTTCGTTTAGCAAGCCAGGCAGCTCTTCTTTATCAACTTAAATTCTCAAGTCCTCTTCTAAGCACCAACACCCAAGGTTTCGCGTGGATTTGGATCACAATAGCAATCACGTTTTTAACCGTGGCAGATAAAGGCGAACTCATGATGCCGGTATTCGCGGCGTTTTGGTTATATGGACTATTTTTATTTCTGCCAGCCTTGTTTTCTGACCTGCAGTGGATATAAATCAAAGAGTAGAATAAAGATAGCTCAGAAGAAAGACCTTGAATCGATGAGAGCTGCCGAAGGACACAAGTTGTCGGTAAACATAAGGCGAGCTTATGGTGATATTACGAGGCTAAGTACACCTGCTTGAGATTTCCACCCTCTGCCTCGGGCTCGGCGAATCTGTGATCGCCTTGAACCTTTGGGAACTCAGATCTGTTCATGCTCAGATCAAATGAATAAAGGCAATCTTGGCACTTTTGGCTGACCAATTGATACAAAACCCGATTAATTTTTATGAAACTGATGATGTTTAGCAGTTGTTGGTGTTGGGAAAATTCATGTCCACGGTGTTTTTTCTGGACTGTGGATCCGGCAGCTCCTAATCCCAAAATGCAGACACTTTTTTTGGCTTTTTAATCCACAAAAAAGGACAAAGGGCCATCTGTTCTCGCAAGTTGCATGTACATAGTTCCCGCTTAAAAATTTCCTCATTCTGAAAAATAATTTTTAAGTCTACGAAGCTTTGTTCTGGAACCAAGGCCAGCACGCACAGACGACTAGTCGTTGTGACTTGTTTCTTCGACAACCCGCAAACTGCTTCCTAAGCAGTTCGCTGTGCCCTAGTAATTAATCCCTGCGGTAGTCACACGCAATCAAGAGTTGTCTGAATTGGTCCTACTTGTTGCAGGGACAAAATTATTTCGAGGGATTCAGAGTTTCTCAAACATTTTCCATGCCACACGGGGTTTATTGTTGCTACGACTTTTTCCTACGACGGGTAGCTGCCACCGCTCGTCGCCCAGTGTGTCGAGGCCTTTCAGAGCGCCAAAATGCTCCACTTTGTTTTTATTTGCCGTTGTATGGCTTTGAGATTCTTCAAATGTTTTGAACTTGGCTTTTTATAAGAGTTAGTTCCAGCCTCTTTCAGTCTCTCGGTCATCGGCAACTAGCGAAAGAGTAGGTGATTAAAATCACCTACTCTTTCGCTAGTTTCCGATGACGTTTTAAACAAAACAAAAAAAACAAAAAAAACTGCGAGAGCCTGGAATTAGCAAAGGGAATTAGGTCTGCTGTTATTGGTTCAAATATTCAAAATGGCTATCAGTTGTATTCATATTATTTAACGATTTCTTAGGCAACCACGTAGCAGAGAATTTTTTGAAATAAAAGTTTTTTTTAATGTTGCAATTATTGTTATCGTACTTGTTGGAATACGCCCAGCAACGTTAGGATTTAAGGGTGATAAGATAATTCCTCTTCTTGAAAACCGTAAATAGAAAAATTTTCTGGAGATTGGTAAACGTTTTCTCCATGATGGCACTGATTTTATTTCACTGCTCTAAATACTCATGATCATGTCCCCCTCAGGCCCTCACTGCTAATCAGATGCAACACTTGCCCTCTAACACCCAAGATCTGACTATCAGTTCTCTCCTCAAGCTGCTACACATTTCCTTATATATAAGTAATGAGAATTTTTAGTGAGATCAAGAGTAACAACTACCAGATAGGTTTGAGTATTCTCATTACCTGTTTGCTAGATGATGTATTGATATTATAGGGAGAAGTTACTTGTTAATCACTTCGGGGTTGAAAGGTAAAAATTGATTGTGACCTGGTCATCTGGGTCTGTATCGCGTTATCATTGGCTCCCAAAAATCCACCTCTGTTCGGATTTATTCATAATGTTACATTTTATTATTTTTTTTTAATCCTCGGTTTTTGTTTTGCTCTGTTTTGTGGTTTTACGACACTCATTAACGAAACTTTGTCTGTCGTCCCACGCTCCCCAAGCAAATGTCTCTTGAAGTTTCGCCACGGGTTCCAAAGTACGTGTCTACGTCACTCCTCATTTCTGACATCAATGGTTCTTTCATTTACATCTTGATACTAAAAGACCCATGACAATCTTAAGTGACTGTGTTTTTTAGTATTTCTATTTCACCTTTCCTCTTTCGAAGTAATGGCGAAGAGACAGTTGCGAAACTATTCCGTCTGCTATCATAGGAGCACTGAGCGAGCAACCATTCGATGAACCACGGGCCCGCTGGAGAGGAATCTTAAGTGTGTATGCGTATAACGCGTTTTTTGGTAAAGTTTGATCTGCAGCAATTTATACATGACCGCCTTGTTATGGCGATGAAACATCTGAGTGGTCCTGCACACGAGTTTCAAGGTCCACGCTCTGTCATTCAGCGGTTTCTTAATGAGGAGATCTCCCTGGCAGCCATTTTTGAAAATCTGCGCGACGTGTGTTCTGATGAACGGTAAGTCTTTAGTTAGTCAATCGGAAAATGCACATACTAGCCTTCCTTTTTCACTCAGATTAATTTCTGCATTCGGTCAGTTTCCGGCCATTGGACCAAGCGCTTTTGGGTTAACAGACCACAGGCAGCCCAAGCTTACGTGACTCTTACGGTGTTGCGCAACGTTTTATATACATAAAAGGTTTATATGGGATGCTATCGGTTTGCCTTAAAAGAGAGAAAAAAATGTCGTGTTTTGAAATAAAATGGACTTACCTTATTGCCTTGTTGTTTTCTTTGGTGATTACCAGCGTCTCAGGCCATTTTGAAGCGTTTTCGGCGAGTTAGCGCTATTTTGGTTTTCAACTGCTAAAATAAAGACAAGGCAGGAAACTCATTTTAGAAGTGGGGTCGTTACGAAAACGAAGACCCTCGAAAACGAAGACCTAAGACCTAAGACCCGGTCTTCGTTTTCGTACTGCGAAAACGAAGACCCTGTAAACTGAAAACCGTTGAAATTACAAGTTACACGCACATTAAACAGTAACAACGCTTAGTAATATAATACATTACACTTCACCCGTTTCTTCCCATTATTATACTGCCCGTATTATTATACGGCCCGTCTTGTCTGTTCTGTTTCGCTATGCGAGCCAATTTGGTGTTGATATTCTCGAGGGTTTCCTTGGGTAAACTTTCTGGAACAGCAGGCAGAATTCCATCGCCAGCCGCCTTTGATTTATGTTTAGCATTGCGTGACAGAATAACAGAGAAAGCTTTCTGTACAGGAGAAATGACTCTTGGGTTCTGTCAAAAAATAATCGATTTCTACTGTATTTCGTAGCTAAAATAGATTCTGACGGTCGTTAAGCTTTCTCTGCTGGAAAATTCTCGTTAAAAAATAAGCAATTCTTTTGGCTGATGCAGGGTCTTCGTTTTCGTAGTACGAAAGCGAAGACCGGGTCTTAGGTCTTAGGTCTTCGTTTTCGAGGGTCTTCGTTTTCGTAACACCCTTTAGACTAAAAGTGTCCGTCTTTATTTTAGCATAACATCCCATACAAACCTTTATAAATATAAAACGTTGCAAAACAATGTAAGAGTCACTTCCGCTTTTTTAGTAGGAAGCTTGGGTTGCCTGTGAACAGACTAAACACAAGTTTACACTGAACTGACTTCACTGTATATTTAATGAATGTCGAATGCAACCTCTAATGAGGCTATCGCTACACGTGTAACCCACTTTAGTCACTCTGTGCAAGAGGTATGAGAAGTGTCTGACTTATACTTAATTATGGTCATTTCAAAGTTGACAGACAAACACGCACTGTATGATACTGTGCAATAGCTGTTATGTTGGATGAGAATGAAGGTCAGCATATGATAGTTCCTCCGGTTCAGCCCGTCAGCCCATTTTGATCTCCCCAACACTTTTCCAACCGTTATTATTTTTTAATATCATGTGATTTCTTTTTCATTCCCCGCTAAATCTGTGATTTCCTGCTAAATTTAGGGCTCACAGTACATTAGACCTATTTGAAAAGACTAGAATGTCTTGTCATATCATGTGCTGATGTAATCGTAAATGCAGAGCATACAGTACTCCTCATTTAGTTAAGACTTCAATTGTTAACCTGGTCTGAGGCTCAAGTCCTTGACCATTTGCACACCAATCAAGCACTCTGCCAATTCAGTTGTAACCAGTGGGTGGTCCAGCAGCTTTGGTCAGCCAATCTTTGGCGGAAGACTCACTAAATCAAGTTTGCATGCTCAAAAGATCTCATCTATCAGTGTATTTTGTGCCTTCTCAAGCTTTGGTCTATCAAACATACACAACAATTTCAACCGATCAGCATTATGAAGTGAGCAAGCTTGTGCCACAATGCAGGGGTTTCGCTAATGTTTTCAGCAGGAGGGCATCCAGTTTTCACAGGTGGGAAAACTATTTGAACTGAACTTCTTTATAAGATAAACTTTCCTCCAGATCTTCAAACCAAGTGGGCAAAACCATCCTCACAACCAGTCAATTTTCCTGGTGCCCAGGCCCTTAATGAAATCCCTGACAATGGGTACCATATATGAACAGCCTTGCTATTTTCTTACAAGCCACTCATGGCTAAGGAATGCTAACATAATACTGATACCTGAAAATTAAAAGTGACATTTTTTGAAATACTGGAAACAGAAATCATATGGCTGTACCCAAAGAAGTATCTTTGTCTGAAAGGGGTATTTTCTCTTTCTATGAATTTTAAAATGTTAATGGTTCTGTGGGATGGTAGGGAGACCATAGGTCAAAAGGTCAGGGTTCAAACCTTGGCAGGGTCATTATGCTGTGTTTTTGACATGAAAAAGAGTTAATGAGTCAGGGGCGGATCCAGGAAGTTTTGATTGGGGGGTCCAAACTTTAGTTCAGAAAGGACTGTTGGACTCTTTGAGGCAAATTACTTCTTCCCTACACCCCCCACACCCCTCCCACCAGTTGCGGTTGCAGGTTACAATTCCTTGGCCGCTGACCGTTTACTTGGATTCATTAATTAAAAAATCAGCCAGTTAAAAAGTGATATACGATCCTGTCGATGTAAGAATTTCAGTCTCAAAGTTGTAAGCGTCAGGCCTGATAGGCGGGGTCCGGACCCCCTGGACCCTCCCCCTGGATCCGCCACTGTGAGTTCTGGCAAACTACCAAGGAGACCAAACCAAATGCTGAGGGATAATGGAAAGGGGGGGGGGATGGTAATCATGGACTGGCATTCTGTCCACAAAGAATCAACAATACTCCTAGTCTGTTCGAGAACTTTTCTCTAAAAAGACAACTTCTGGGTCAACTCGCTTTCCTAATCAATTTAATATCATTAGGTTTAAATCTGATACTGGAAGAAACACTTTACAGTACAGAGGGCCTGTAATCTGGAATTTTTTTAAATAGACTAGTTAAAGTGCCTGAAAATCTTAATTCCTATAAGCAGATATTAAAGAAACACACAAGGGACATTGCTGAGTATTCTTTTAGCAAGGAAGTGACGTTGAACACCGCATAAAAGATGATGTTATATACTTTTAGCATTTTTATTTCTGGTATTATATTATTATTTCAATTAGGCTCATGTAAATCTCAGTTTTTTACATTATACTGTTTCTCCCTGTGCATAGCTTTTATTCTTTTGTTAATATCTTTTGTGTTTGTCAAATTTTGATTGTGCATAGTAGGTCCACATCAGCCCTTCGGCTGCCATACAATCTCAACCTACTTATCAAATAAAGTTCACCTTTACCTTACCTTACCACCTCATGCCACTGAAACTGGGAGAAGCCTCTGATGAGATGTGTGAGCTGACTCTACCCTAGATAATAAAAGGGTGCTAGTCACAGGCTCTGTATTCTGTGACCCTTATTTTGAGTCTTATACTCTGTTATTGGAAGAAACTTTAAGAAGGAATACCTGGATTCCTTAATGATCATGAGAAACCACAGAGAGATTTTTCATTTTATGTATCTAACAGGTTGCCCTCTTCTTTTATCAGATTCTCCTTTTCAGATTTCTTCGAGGGAGACGGTTCAAAAGGTGTGTACTAATTCGTCACGCGGTGACTCTCCATCCACTTCACTGCCCTGCAACCATTTCAAGGTAACTTGAGATCAATAGTATTGGGAATAGGGTATTAATTTAAAATAGAGTCTATCGTATCGCCCATCTTTGAATATGATTGAAGAGGTGACGTTGAATGTATTTTGTCTGCTTAATGAAAAATCAGAGACATCAAAACACTCAATTACAGTAAAAACCCGTATACAAGAACATGTGGACTAAGCGGAACAAACCAAATTTTGAGGCCGAAATTTGGTAAAAAAGGAGCTTATATATAAGAACACATTCAGCCTGAAAATTGAAAATCAAAATAAAGACAAAAAACTGCTTGGCTCAGTCGGGATTGATTTTATTTTTCCATCATATTTTTCGAGAGGATGGCGCCATTCTCCTACAGCAATCACGGAACGAAAATATAAAAAATCTACGGAAAAACACATATAAAAATTGCTCTTTCTCTTAATCTTTGTTCATCGTAAATCGTTTGCCGTGCGGATTAAAATTCCAAATGGCAACGGAACAGTCTTCAACTTGTAAAACATCGCTAACACAGCAAACGTGTCAAAGATGTTCTCCAAGGATTATTAAGTGTTGAATGTACTTCAAGAAATAGCGAAAAAGATTGGGCTGACGTTTTTTTCAGGATATCCGAATCTATTTCGGTTAAGTTTTGTCCAACATTTTTTTTTTCTTTGTTCCTCTTTTGGTGCTTTTGAGTTTTTTTAGCGTTTGCACACCGGTGGTGTGGCCTGGTGGAGCTGTTTTATACTTAAGACCCGTATATCTGAGCTGAAATTGTCATTAAATGTCGCTTCCCTTTGAATTTCGCTCGTGCAATTTCAGTTATCGTCCGTGCGAGGATAGGTCTGTATCAAAGACCGAAGTTTCCACAATCCGGCTGAACGAAAGCCATCATTAGTTTTTCACGTATGATGCACAATCCTCGCAGTAGATACATATGATATATGAACCTCATATATTCATTGTATTAGTTTTTCACTTTAAAATAACCACCATTTTTCATTCCCAGACATGCCTACAGTAGTTCGCATCCTAGATTCTTTCAATCACAAGAAAACCGTTGCACTACTTTATTTGCAGAGACACTAAAAATTTCCCATCAATTCTTTTCTAAAAATAGTGCGTTCATTTATTTGCCTTACTGGTGCAAGAACACGTGAGTTACCCTGCGAGCAGAGCCTTTTCTTCTTTTTTTCTTCTTTTCTTCTTTTTAACCCTCCAATTGAAAAGGATTTTCGATTGGAGGACGGGTTAGAAAGGCTCTGCTCGCAGGGTACACGTGAGTTTGCTTCGCGGGAAGAGGGCACAACAGGGACTGCATGAGCTATTAACATAACCCATTGAAGACACCATGAATTGTACTTTTCAATCCCCTATTACGTTTGCTTGTTGGCAAATGAAAGATGTTTTTTCATTGTCGTGTAATTTTGACGATTTTCGTAAGCTCATAGTCCGACTTAGTTTACTGTTCAGTCTTAAAAAATTGCTCTCTTATATCTCATACAAAAATGGTTGTTTTTCTTTCCATTTGTACTTTTGATACTGAGCTTGCATGCATTGAAATAATGAAGCGTGAACACCTGCCATGAATTAGGAAGATAACACATTTAACTCTAAACATAACATTGTAAGGCGTTGAATAAAGTCTTCAGACGGATTTTACTCACACGGACAGTAGGTTAACACCAAACAATAGTGTAATATATTCCTACCCGGGTCGTCGCATTGCGATTGTCATACAGTTTGATTTCTTTTGTTTGCTCGCACCGCTTTTATCAGATAAATTCATATTCCTGACAAGTGCACGTGCACAATTTGTCTGCTGTCTTTGTGTTTGTCTGGTATCTTTCTTTACTACCCGATAAACAAAACAATTAACGTTTGTGGTTTGAATCGTTAAACAAAACAGCTTAATTTTCCTTCCTGTTTCCGGTGACATAATCAAACGAACCTCCTCGACGATTAACATGCCATTCGCTTGTTCTCAACATTGCTATGCCTTGAGTCATCACGTTATTATTAACTATTTTTTATTTTTCCCACGCACTCTTTAAGTGTTAGACGAGTAACTGGTAGGCCCCACCCGGTGGGATACAGTTGTATTTAAAAGGTTTTTGTTTCCCTCTTTTTTGAGGACACTTACGCAACGAAGGGTAAAGCCGGTTGAGTGAAAAAAAACATTGTAACAACTCGAGGAAGGCTGAAGTTTGACCCCTGGGTATCTCTTCTCTTCAAAAATTTTACACATGTTAGTAGTGCTTAATAGAAACGGTGCATGGTTAATGACTCCCTTTTTATCTACTGGTATAATTGAAAATATCAAGAAACAAATTGAGGAAGGCTTTAAGTTGTATTTAGAACAATTGGACTTCGCTTTGATGGTATTTTACTGATATTGTTTCACTGTGAACTAGAGAGAAATTTTTAAGAGAATAGACCAGTAGCATTCGTATAATTTGGCCGGAAAGTCCTATTGTCTGTTATACTATTGTGATCTATGCGTGAGGGGTAAGCTGCTCGAAGTGTCATTCTTGAACACAGTCACTCTGTGAAAAATGTACAATGCAGATGATTAAAAGACATCCTACAATTTTTTAAAGGCGATAACTAGGTTATGTCTGAAAATTGAAAAAATAAGTGAAATTTCACTGGTTGAAGTAAGTCGAATGGATGATATGTGCAGAAGTGTCTCACCCACATCTTCGCAAAATATCGTAAATGGCTGTGGTTGTGTTATAGATGAAAGGAACGCTATTACGGGAATGTCTCCTTGAAATTTAAAGTTTTTTGGAGAAGAAGCAGCCTTCAATACGATTAAATAGCTCATTTCTTGGTTATTTTACTGAGGTCGAATGCTTCAAATAAACTATCTATCTATCTATCTATCTATCTATCTATCCATCTACCTATCTTCAAATCTTCTGAGTTTCTTAAACGTATGGAATCAGACCCCTGGAAATATGACAGCAATAATTTGGAAGCAGTATATTGCCCACAGTTGTTGTAAAATATAAGAAGCAGACGCAGAATACAAACTACTAATAATATCTATTTTTTTTTACTTAGACCTGTCAGTGTCTTAGATACAGCCAATAAGCTGAACCGCTATTTTAAGTTAACGTAAAGGCAGGCCTTTCAATAACGAGCGGAACTACAATCTATATAAGAAGATTTTTTTATTTGTTGAAGATGAATAGTTCATGCTACAATTCATCATCTGTAAGCACATGTGATAAATATTGACATGATACTCTTGTGAATTGTCGTCCATCCCGATCGTGATGGTATGTAAGAAAATATTTTCCGGTATGAAAGTTCTAAAAATAGTTTCCACGCGATGCTCACCCCCTGTGACAGCCCCCCTATAGCGCTCGAGCAAGTCACTCATCGAGCTCCCGCTGCGCATCAGCGTCACTCCATGAGTTCTTCGCAGCGCGCTAAAATAATTTTTTTTTTTTTTTCACTGATTTTCACTGATTCTTGACTTGCGCGACGGACTTCGCCGAAAAGGAGGAACTGCATGTAGTCTATCTTGGAGGCGTAATTCTTGCTCGTCACGCAATCCTCTCAGATTTCGTGATGTGCTCGAAAGGAGATGGCGTGACTTTCCCAGCTTAGCATCTCTAGCAGAAGCTAAGCACACGCTATGAACACATACAACAGCAGTCATTCGTATGATTACAGCATGTTAGCGTTTCGGTAAAACTGTGTGGAGGACGAGGCTATGCGTTGAATTATCTTCTCGATTAAATTTTGATTTATTATTCTCATTTAGCGCAAACAAATAAAATAGCCCTCGCGCGGAAGGAAATTTTGCTCCTCGCAGAAAACGATATAGTGTCGTGTAAAAGTACACTTGCACTTTGTACGTGAATTAGAATGTCTCTTTTGACACACTATCTTAATATTGCAGTTAATTCACATGCAGTGCCACGTCCTTGTGTGTGATGAACTCCTTGTTATTCAGATGGCCGTGATAATCTTAAGAACCTCACGTGCACAGTTCAGCAGCCATTTTTATCTCTTGTGGGCCATCTGACCTTTGTAAGCGATAAAATACAGTAATGAATAATTCCGGTATCTATTGTCAAATAAAGCAACTTCTGTTTAATTCCTGTTTTCGATGTAATTTTCGAAGACGTCACCGAGTTAATTTCCATGTTTGTTGTTTGTTCTTAACATAGCTATGCCTTGAGTCATCACTCAATCGGTAACTGTTATATCTTTTTTCCCACACTCCGCATTACAGACCTACTACCAGTACATTTTTATTTTTAGAGGGAACACCTTGTTTCCATTTTTTCAGAAAAATGACACAAAGGAGGGATAGGACTCGAGTGGAATAACGTGGTGATAACTTAACGTGATTGAAGTTAGATCAAATAATTTATTTTGTTTTGTGTTGTGGTTCTTTTTTCGTGTCATTTGCAAAAAAGATACATTGTAAATCAATTTTTCTATAAGTGACCGTAATGCAGGTCATTAAACTAGCGTGGGAATCGCTTCTAACTAATTATCATAAATGTATATATTTGTTTCATTCTTAAACATTTTCAAATAATGGAACTTTGATTTAGCTGTTTCTTTGAGATCAAAGTGAAAGCAATCAGAATCTATGCTTAAATTATAGTAGAAAATGAAAGTTCGTCAAAGTTGCTCCATGAAAAAAACACACGCACTTCATATTTCCGACGTTGCATCACCGCGCAAAACATAGCACAACTCAGTTTCTCTTTATCTGTAAAGCATGATCGGGAAATCGTTTCTTAGTTTGTTAGGACCAACATGCGCGGTAGTTCAGTGAACATTATATGGGTGAGTTATCTCAATTGAGGTACATCACGCAACTGTTGACTTTGTATTTACTCCACGTGCCCAGTTGACACACAAAAGACACCTCAAGAAATTAAGTTTGAAGTGATAAAATCCTCAAAGACCTTTCCCCATTTTGTATTTTTCCAGATTTTATTTTTAAACAGAAAAGATTACACTATGATTATTGAAAAATTCTCTCAATT